TTTTGATGTGTTACCTACTAGAACACCTTATGATGTGCAAATGCTTGATATAAGGATGAGTAACATGCTCTTAATAGATATATAGCACATTTTACTCGGGGGTGCTATTAAGATGCACTTGATGTATTTATCTATGTGAGTGTGAAGGTATATTTCACCTTTTATTAAAGACTTAAGCAATCTTTCTAGAGTACTCATGAGCAACTCAAGGTGTACATAAAGACCTTAATACATTTGTGTAAATATAATATCACGTAGTTGGTAAATTCAGATTTTGATGAGTTTTTAGTTAGTTTTCTAGGAGCTTTTTAATAGAAAATTGTAGTTAGGAAGGTTAAAACCTCATAAAAATGATAATTATTTAAATAGTTCAATTTTGTTTGAATTAACTCAATTTGTTTGGATTTAATAGTGTTCTTATGCAATTTTTGTTTTTGAATGAGTTTTGCAAGAGATTTCTAGGGAAGCACATGAGTTAAAGGCATTAAGAGGTCAATATGTCTGAGTGTTGTCACTTTGGACACAAAAAGTTAACATGTTAGAGGTTTGGAGGACAAATAAAGTGGAGCTAAGCACTTTTCCCACCAAAAGTAACAACTACAGAGCTTATTTGAAGAATATAATGTGCGTAACCACTTTTAAAGTCAAGAGTTGATGCTACAGAGAGGCTGGATCAAGAATAAACTGTGTGTGACCACTTTTCATTGTGAAAGTATCTACTTTGAAGGTTTCTAGACATAAAGGTTATGCATGTAAATACTTTTAGGAGCAAAAGTGATTGTTCTAGAGGTCTATTAGAAGAAATGTCATACGCGTAGACACTTTTAGGAGAAGTGGCTACTCGCAAGCTTATTTGTGGAATTGAAGATGCACGTAATTACTTTCAGGGCCAAAAGTGGCTGTTCCAAAGGCTATTTTTTGCAGGAAGTTGCACGTAATCACTCTGGGCACCAAAAGTGATTACACCAGAAGCGAGGACAATCTATAAATAGCTTTAAACTCATATATTTTTAGTAGCTTTTTTTTTCTTTTTCACACTCTTAGAGAGTTAAAGAGAGAAGATTATGGACGAATTTCAAGGCTCAAATCTAGAGGAATCGGGCTTGGGACTTAGATTCATGAAGATTTTTTGCACCTCTTCTTCTACTCTTTCGTTCTTTCTTTCTTTCTTTTATAATCATGTTCTAATTTGCTTTGGTTAGGAATTGATAGATTCGATTTGGACGTTGTAAATTTATTGTGAATCTGAATTTTAAGATATTGATTGTGTTGAACATTTAATTCTTGTTTTAATGCAATTCTTGGATTAATCATTCAATTAAATTAAACTTAGAGAGTTTCCATCAATAGAAGTTGAGTTAATTTCTCAAAAGTGTCAAGATTATCGATATGTTAGGAATAAGCATTCATGATCTTGTGATTTCTTAATTTCTAATACCTAATGTAATGTTTGATTGATTTACACCTAAGAAATTAAGTTAGTTAATTGAATATTAGGATCATTAAGTTAAGGAATTGAACTTAAATTGATAAGCAAACAATTAAGGAACATAGAGTTCATATCACATTCAGTTTTGCAATTGACAAATTGGTGAAATCAACCCTAACTTCATTTAATTACTCATCTCATCTCTAATTCTTCACTTTGTATTGTTGTTATCTTTTGAATTTTTTTACACTTTATTGCTTAATTCTTTAAATATTCAAAACACGTCAAGTTTCGATAAAATGGTAATTGAATGAACTAATCCCTGAGAATGATACTCGAAACTTAATATTCTGAATTTATTACTTGCTATCACTACCTAATACACTTGTTAGTGAGGACTTTAAGAGTGTGATAGTAGTCATCACATTTCAATGGTAAAGTATGTTGTGAAAGTCTTATCTTAAGCCCATTAAATTTTAGAGTAATTCCTTTCTTAGATGAAAAGTGTTTTGCTTTTTTTTTTTGGTACCAACAATTAAGAATTGTTTTCCTTTACTTGCTGTGTTAAAAACTAAATCACAAGCTTCTGATAAAAATCGAGCAGTTCTAGTAAAATTTTTAATATAAATACCCTTATATATGCTTTGTAGATATATAAAGTTCCATTTTAGGATTCCATTTTCTAGTACCGTGGCCAAAATAAACTCTTGCTTCCATCATCTCTCCAAAATTATGTTCCAATATCTTTTTGTCATTCAATCTTAAAGACATTAATACCTAAGCACAAACTTCATTCAATCTTAAAGACATTAATACCTAAGCACAAGTGTAATATTTTTTCTTTTTATTTTTTATTATAGTTAATATTTTTCTTAATAGTCATTAAATTATGTTATATTGACTATTATTTTATTTGAATATTGGTAACAATATAAAAAGATTTATTTTATTCTTTTAATTATAACTAATGACAATTATAATCATATCACTCTTAGCTTTAAATGCAAGTTGTATTCTCTCAATCAAAAAGAGTATGAAGATATTGCTTGTAAGACCCTACTGCGTTATAACTGTACACAAATTCAAACACTTGTTACGTTAATCTTGGAGAGCAAAATAGAATATAGGGTTGCACGAGAGGTTTGCTACAATTTTGTTTTTAGAACAATGGATATTACCACAGGACAATATTGTCTCTCCATCTAACTTTCTAACAACATATAATGGATAACACTGTAGTGTTAAAAACTTGTTTATAAAATCAATTTCGTCGAATATTGTGTGTTTTTCTCTAACCCTTTTTAGAAGTATCATTTGACCAAGGTTATGATAGTTTTGTTCAGCATTCAGCAAAAAGCGTCACGAAAACTTGAAAAAACTGAACAAAGAAAAGCAAAAGTTGGATTAATCTAGAGGGAAAAAAAAAGAGAAAGAAAGGATGGGAGAGACCACAAAGAGCAATAACTTGCTATGTAAGTGTCTTGTGTTTTGGCCTCCTTAAACAAAACATGAGTAATATTCGTTTCTTGATGAATGCAAGGGGTTGATATGTTTCTCATATTGCTGACGGTAGGAGTTGAAGCGTGTCCTAACTCGCAAGAGACAAATCAATGAAGCAAAGCACACCAACACAGAGGGAGAGAGAAAGGGTAGGTGCTAAATTCAAGATAGGGGTGTGGTCCACGAAAGAAATAAATTATGGGTTGTGGAGCAATGAATAGTAAAACCATCCATGACCATGAGTTGTGAAACTTTGGCCGAGTTCATTCATTCATTCACTCAAATAATATAATAATAGCAGAGTCCCTACAGCTAGAGGTACATGGTACATAGGCAGTGATATTGATACAGGACCCCAAAACTAGAATCTGGCGCATTTACATTGCATTGATGTGGACCACATTTGGGTCATTTCCATTTCTTTGTGACTTGGCTTTTGCCAAGTGCCAAGAGAGTAAGGGCCCACATCGAATGTTACCCGCATTCCAGCAACCAAAGGATGGTTTCCTCCAGCGGTGGCCATTCCAAATTTCACTTTCACTTGGTGCTTTGGGCCGCTGGGCCCGGCCCTCTTCCGCCCCATCACGTGTGGTTGCTGTCAGCTAAAGTGGTGGCAGTAGGAGGTGGGTGTGGGGGTGACATACATGTGATGATAAATTCAAACATACTATACACATAGATAAATAGATACCCTTTTGCTTTTTGGACATTTTTTCTCTTTCCTTAACGCCTGTAGCATAATTTGAGGCCAAAAATAATACCCTACTAACTCATCAATACAACATGTGGACTCAACTCTTGGAAGGAACGAATGAAAGGTAAGAAAAATATATTCAAGGATGCAATGCAAGACTATTTGTTAGATTATATAGGCATTTTGAAAATAATTTGGTGTCACAGAATATATGCACCAGGTACCACCTCAGCCAACTTTCTTTGTTCACCAAAATTGTGTTTTCTTCCTATTATCACCATGGTATCTCTCCTTTCTCAAAGTGATGTTTTTCACTTTTCACTGTGAATACTACTGTTACACATGTTGTAATGTTTTATATCCTTTATGCCCATCAATTTTTAAAAAAAAAATGGAAAGTATACTGACCTCATGTTTAATTTATTTTTTAAATGCTTTTTTAATTTCTGATAGATTAAGATATTGGAGATAGATAGGTTCGGTTAGATGAATGATGAAAATCATCTACGTCATCATGACAGTTAGATCCTTAACACTTTGACCAATGTCAATTAAGTTACGAGGTGGTTGATATTTTAATTAATTGAATCATAACAGGGTTTAAACTATTTTTAAAAATAGAAATGTAACCTAACACAAATTTTTCTTGTGCAATTCTCTTGTACAAAATTATTGATTGGGTTACACATTATAAACATGTTTAAAATCCGGGGTACAGAAAGTAGGGGGGAAAAAAAGAAAAGGGAAAAAAAATGAAAGAAGTAATTAGGTGAAGAGTAATGATAATAATTACAGAAAGGAGTAGATGCGTGGATGAGGGTTGCAATAAAGGGAGAAGAAACCACACCTACTCTACTCACTCACTCACACTCACACCTAAACAAAGAAGAAGAAAAAAAGAGGATTTTGAATTGATCCCAAATGTGTTGAGAAGAAGAGAATGAATAGGAATGTGAGTAACAGTGGTGGAGGGATGAGTAAGTGGCCATTTACAGTGTCTCAATGGCAGGAACTGGAACACCAAGCTTTGATTTTCAAATACATGGTGGCGGGTCTTCCTGTGCCTCCTGATCTTGTCATTCCCATTCAGAACAGCTTTCACTCCATTCCTCAAACATTCTTGCACCATCCCTCTACCACCAGTGTGTTTCTCTATTATTGCTTTTCTTATAACTTTGAACATTCATTTCTTAGTTCTATTTTTAATTTTTTATTCCTTTTTTTGCCTTTGTTGTTGATGTAGAGATACTTAGACTGAACATGTCATGCTATTTTATCATTTATGTTACTTCATTTGCATATTGCATTTTGCCCCCCTTTGTACCTGAAACACCTGCACTGAATTTGAAGTAGGGTAGGGGTACCTCAACTCTGTTTGATGGGTAGGGCTAGGACAACAACTCACCATACCATATTTGGTAATGTGTTTGCAATTAAACATAGCTTTGCACTTTGCAATTATGTTCTCCATCTTTCCTGTGGATATTATTTCTCTTTCTGAATGAAATTGTTGAGAGGAACAAAGATTTGTTATTGATGATTGGTTATTTTGTTTCCCTTTTCTTCAGCTTTCTTTACTTGTTACAAAATATTACAGTGCAATGATCAATTAACTATGCAGTTCTGTTGTTTCCTTTTCTTTTTCTCACATATAGATGTGTACTTGTATTTTGTTAATATGTTGTTTGTGACCTAGGGATTGTCTAGATATTGGTGATAAAGTAGAGGCGCGTAACTAACTGAGCATGTAAATTTGCAGTGAGTTATTGTTCCTTCTATGGGAAGAAGGTGGACCCAGAGCCAGGACGGTGCAGGAGGACTGATGGGAAAAAGTGGAGGTGTTCCAAGGAAGCCTACCCAGACTCCAAGTACTGCGAACGACACATGCACCGTGGCCGCAACCGTTCAAGAAAGCCTGTGGAATCACAAACTATGACGCCGTCATCATCCTCTGTGACATCATTGACTGTAACTACTGGAAGCAGCAGCAGTCCAACTGGAAATTTCCAGAACCTTACCACCCCAAATGCCTATGGTAATCCCCAATGTAGTGCTGGTTCTGGAACAGATCAAACCCACTATCATTTGGATTCCATTCCCTATGGAATCCCAAGTAAAGAATATAGGTATGGACATCTTTATTATATTTCACACTATTTGCATGTTTGAAGAAAGGAAGATTACTTCAATGGAAAACTTATCATTAGGCTCATTTTGCTTGGCATATTTTATGAAACTGCCTAGGCTTGTGCATGTTATTGATTTTCAATATTGTTATCTGAAGTTGATGCAGTTCTTTGATTTGTATTTCCATGTGAATGAATGTCTGCTGTGTAGATCATGATATGCATAGGTTTTTTTAAATAGGGCCCATATAATTGTCAATTTGTTGCCAGTAAGAAATATGTTTACCTGCCATACTTGATAATTCCAGCTAAGCATTGGATGTCAGAATGGCAGCTTTTTCCTGGCTATTTTATTCTAGTCACTGTTCTGGGCCATGATGTCTTAGTGCAGCTTTCAAATTCTTTAGCGAGTTATGAAAATTGTGGGGTTGTGTTTGTCTTCTGTTATCTTTTTTCTCTGCTAAATTTGTTGCAGAGATCTGACCTCATGAATTTGTTGCTATAATAATATTACTGCAAAAGTATCTCTTACATTTTTTTTTTACATTTTGTCAAAGGAGAGACAAAGCTGTTAACTACCTGAATTTGTTTGATCATCTGTCAAAAATTGTTTTGTCATGTTGAAGACAGGAGTTATAGTTCTGTCTCTAAATCCTAAACTCTTTTCGTTTTTTGGTCCAATTTATATTCTGTTCTATTTTCTTGTCTTGGTCATGCTCTAACAACATATGGACTAGGCACAATATGGAAATTCTCATGAATTAAAATTGCCAACAAACTACTTCTTTTTGGGTTTCTTGACTAAATTTTGAGAGAGAAAGATGGTTGTTTAATTGCCTTATTTTTTTTTTCCTTGCATTATTTATTCCTGAGTTATGAATTGCACTGTGAAACATCCTAGGATGCTAACAGCCTAATATGTTGTCTTTCGGCAATATCTGTCATGTGGGGATAATGGAAAAGGTAGGTGCAGTGATTTAATGTCCTACAATTTGCTTTTTGGTAGAAAGGAAGTGTTACGTTTCCCTTTATTCATTTGCTATCACTTTTGTTTGTGCTTCATGTGATTGCTTGCTGTCTATATAATCTCAAATTCAAATAATGGTGCATTTATAAATGTATTTTTTACAAAAGATTAAAGATGAGGGACATGGCTTCTCTAAAGTGTTGGGGGCACTGCACGGCCTTTAATAAGAAAATCTAGTATATGATTTTTCCAAATTCATACTTTGTCCTCAAATTGCTTATCTTTTATAAATAGTCCAAATAGTTTATTTGTTGATTAATATAATTCAGTCTTCACTTCAGGAGTTCCTAATCTTAATATAACAGACAATTGTATAAAGCCCCAAAGCAAATCACATGACAAAACGCACTTCTAGTCCCTTGAACTTTAATGGAAATGACATTATAGAAGTTTGACGTCCCAACAAATTCCAAGTTGGTGATGCATATGCACAGCATTGTCATGGTGAAAAAAGAAAAGTTGGAATTTATGTTTAACTATAGTGGAGTTGGTTATGGAGAGACTTTTAGGAATCCTTTGGTTTCAAGAAATATTTTCTGCTTTTCATTTTTGTTTTCATTTTTAATTGTAAAAAATATATTTTATTTTTGTATTAAAAATTTGTATAGAAAATAGTGAAAATAAAAAATACTGTTGATTTCAGCACCACTTTTCTCACCGTGTATATTAGAAATTTGAATGTATGCCTATTTCTTTAAAAAGATTTTTCTTCGTCACTACATATTTGAGGGATACAAATATGTTCAAAATAATGAGGTCTAAAATGCTTCAATTTCATTGAATAACTACCTTGGTAGGTGGCTCTGCGTTGGTGACCTTGTCTAGTCTATTGTTCTTTTCTTTCTTTCAATTTGTTATTATTGTTGTCGTGTCAGCCATCGATATCATCAACATGATTATTTGCTTCCACCATTTAATTTGGTCAACAAGGCACCTTATTCCACTGAGTTGTTTTGATTTTTAAATAAATATTATTGCAGAATATTTGAGCAAGATCATTCTTTTTCTCCCATTGAATTGTGGGCAATTTATTTGAAAACAAGCAGGTATTTTCAAGGACCTAAATCTGAGGATGGTGATCATAGCTTCTTGTCCAAAACTTTAGGAAGCAACAAGGTTCTCCAGATGCAGTCACAGCTGGACAACACTTCGATGCCAACAGGAGTTGCCTCATTCTCTGCATTGAGATCAAACAGTAATTCCATGTTGCAGGGTGATTATCTCCAGCCATCTTTTTTATCTAGTGATTATGCCTCTGGAGAAACTGTGAAGCATGAGGGTCAGGCCCTTAGACCCTTCTTTGATGAATGGCCTAAAAGCAGGGAATCATGGTCTGGTCTGGAAGATGAAAGATCCAACCAAATAGCTTTCTCCACAACTCAACTCTCAATATCCATTCCCATGTCATCATCAAACTTCACTACAACCAGTTCTCAATCCCCTCATGGCGAGATTTAAATTGGGTCAAGTTGAAGCAAGCATGTACCCACCAACCACCTCAATCCTGTAATTATATTGTTGCAGATAACTAAAAACTTTCATTAGGATTTTTCAGCGCAATGCTCTGAAAAGGACCAAAGAAACCCCACTTTCTTGTATTTTCATTAGTCTCTATAGCTCCTGAATTTTGTGCACTTTCTGCTGAGCTAAGTTGTCATCTAATGAGTGGATTTTAATAGAATCCATCAACATTCTTGTTTTTGCATCTAATGAACAAACAGCAGTATTTCATACTGATTTAAAGGGTGTTGAATGAAGTTGCTGGTTTTGTTCATAAATTAACGCACCCCTCGAAGTTCTGAGCCATTGCAAGTGCTCCCTTTTGAGATGGAGAAAAAACCTTGAAACTCAGTATTAGGCAATTAGTTTGGACCAAAAGTAGGGAAATTTTGAGGTTTTTTATAACAAAGTTAAATATGTGCCCCGAAATAAATTTTATATAATATATTATATGCCATCTAACATTAGATTTCTCAAAAGAATGAAAACGCCCATTCCCAGTGTTACCAACAGCCACTGTCAAAGTCACTTCAATGGTCCGTGGGCATAGCCCAACTAGCATTTTAAAGATAAACTGTAGGTTGACCCAGAAAAGGGATGAACTTTTAAGACCTCATTGGTTTCAGAATTTTTACAATTTTATCTTTAATTATAAAATTATTATTTTGTCTTCTGTGCTGAAGGATTTGTCAAAAAAGAAAAAAAAAACAATAAAAATAGAAAATATTATTTTTATTGTCTTCTGTACAAATCTTTGAAAATAAAAATAAAGTGATAAATTTATAATTAAAAAATCATTAATTATTTCAACTCGAGGGATTGGTTTAGTTTGACAAATAATTAACTTTTGCCATCCTTTTAGAAAATTAAACCTTGACCAAATTTGCAGCCAAATCTTTGATGAGTAAACGCTTTTTGCCCTCCAAGAATAAGAATTTTTCTTTCAATATTATGCATCTTACGCCATGTACATAACGCATTTTTGTTGTTTATACAGTTGTTCACAAAAGTGCAGTGCCAAAAAAAATCTCTAGAAAACAACACAAGCAACAAGAGAGGACACTTCGTGGGCACAACATTAGCACAGGTAAAGAAGTTTGCAATTCATGAAGAGCAAGAAAATTGGTTAGGACTATTATTTATCAACCAATCATCCCTCTTGTTTCTTTCTCTCTCTCTCTCTCTCTGTGGCTGAAACATATTCTCCAATCTTTTTCCAAAGTCCAAACCAAACCAAGATGCCATTGAATTGTTCTGCACAATAGAGATTTGGTGTCATTATCTATTTTAATTCTTCTGAATTAAGCTCTGCAAGCAATTTGGAGCATAGGCACAGTAGTCCATAGTTAGTCTTAAAAAACTATGTCTTATACTATAAGTATACTCCAAAATATGATCTTTTATATCACAACATTAGCATGGGGCCCTATGTTTCTTAATCAATTAATTAAGTTGCCCTAAGGCTAATATATTTAAGCACAATATATACCTAGTTATATGTGTTAATTGTAGTAGTTATGAAAATCAAGCATAAGAATACACGTCCGTCTTGCTTGCTTTTAGCCTACCCAACACCTTCCTGTCCCATTCCAATCTCGTTTTGAATTTTCAAGGCCAAAAATGTGTAAAGCATTTTTGCTTCGTAGCATGCTTTTCTAATTTTCTATGACCACTTTATTTACTTTTTTATGTAAGTGGAACACATGTATATTTTGTTAAGTATTATTGAACATAGAGTCTTTATTTACATAACTTTAATTAACGCAACATACCTTCCTTGATTCCATTGATATATTGGCTATCATTAGCTTCCAGAATTTTCGTATTAAAATTGTTTGGGTTTATTGCTAGGACGAGGATGATAAGTGTTTATCCTGAATTTTTATTTTAGTAAGCATTAATATTTCATTAAAAATAAAATATTAATACAAGAGATACTGTAACCCATTACATCTTTAAAAAAAATTAATAATATGAATTATTAATTTAATTCATATATATAATTAAAATTTTTAAAAATTTTATTGCAAGTGACTTACGATACTTAATAAAATAAAATATTTTACTAACATTTAAAACATAGTTATTAAAAATAATATTATTCTTTTGAAACTAAATTATCTATAATATTATAAATCATGTTTACGAAAAATTTTGTATTACAAAATCTAGATATTAGCTAGAGAAATTGATAATATTCACTGTTCACTCATTTATTTGTACTTGGTGTTAATATACCCTGAAAAACTACGATTATGGATGCATTTAAAATGAACATGCATGATTTGATATAATGGTTAGTCACTGTTTCAATATTCCAATGCTTAATATTCTATATTAAGCATCCGATGCTAAAAGTGTTCAATGGGAGAGGGTTGATATCGTCTTAGTAAATGGATATGCTGCCAAGTCAAAATACCTAAATCTTCTTTCAAAAGACAAAACTTTTATGTTTTCATTCTCATAGAAATAGAGTGAAAAACATAGAGAAAAAATAATTAAAAAATTTAATCTTTAAGACAAAACATATATTAAGACAATGTGACAAATAAAAGGAGAGAATAATTTTTTTATTTAATTAATAACTCACGTATATGTTTTGTTGCACTAGTTAATTAATCAGACATGAAATACTTTTCCAAAAACAATAAAAAAAAAACTTTATGGTGTTTTTATTATTGATAATTTTGTTAAAATTATAAATTTCTTGTGAATTTATATCTCATGACTATAAATTTTTATATCCTTTTTTTTTTAAATAAAGTTTAGTGGGAGAGAGAAAGAAATTATTTTTCAATTAATATCCTTATATTCAAATTCTGAAACATAAATCAAGTTTTATTTATCTATCACAGTTTATTTATTTATTTTTATCTTACCAAATATTGATCTAAGTTCTATTGGACCCATACTTGACTAAAGGACTTAAACCCACTAATGTTGTCACGCTGTCTTTATCAAGGATAGAACCCTAATTACCAAAACCAACTAGTTGCTAACTGTGCAATTAATAGATCTTTACCTAACCCCAATTGTAATACACCTTGCCATAAAAAGCTTCTTATATAGGATTGCTCACACTTAACGTGTACGTAATAAAATAAAATTGTATGTATAAATCAAATAAAAATGGTCATAATTAGAGAAATTTTATTATTGTTCTTATCTGCTTATTATCATCTTTATTTTTTTAAAACATATTTTTGGTTATTTATGGATCAGATTAATAGTAAAATTATTTTAAAAACACTTATCTAAAAGTGATAATAAACTTATACGACTGATAATAATAATTTTTTATAATTAGATAATTAAAATATATAGAATTAATTAATATATCTTCTAAGGGAAGTTGACATTAAAATATTACACACTTAATTTTAAAAAAAATAGATGAAACTTTGTGTATGTAAAAGAATTTTTTGAAATAATTAATTTGATCATGATATACATGTTTCTAATTTAAATAGGATTGTTTATATATATATATATATATATATATATATATATATAATGTATGTAATATAGAGAAAAAAAAATCTCATTAAATGAGCCCTTAATGTCACTTGGTTCCGTTTCTTATTAACCGCTGATTTATTGTTTGACTGGACTCAACATTTATTCCTTATTCATAATTAATTTTTTTATTAATATAACGTTATATTAATAATTAGTGGTTAATTGATAGGTATGTTTTATTTTTAATATTTATTGATCTAATAACATGATGTGCTTCCGGTAGTGTGTACTTTTCAGCATGCAAGAAAAACGAGATCAAAATAAGCGACAGTCACATGATGTTATAAAGGTTTGGAATTATTTTAATTTATTATAAATATTTTTTTATATGTATTTAAAGGTATAAGTTAAGAAATATTAAATATATTTTATTAATATGTATTTTTATTTTCTATATCTATAATTTTGTTAACATAAACCGTGACCAAAGTAATTGTTTCATCTGTGCTATCTTAAATTTTGTTGATTTATTTTATGTTGAAAAATAATTATATTTTATAAAGCTGTGAAAGATTATAAAGAATAAATATTTTTAAAAATTTAAACTGATTGACAATTATCACGTGTTTTATTTTTTAACACAATTTTATTATGGAATATAAAATTAAATGAATATAAATGTGTTAATTTTTTTATTTATCGTGTAAGATGCATATAGTTTTTAAAAAATTAACCTTGTTTTACAGTGCAAAAAAATAATTTTAATATATACTAAATTTTTAAATTATCAATTGTTGAAAATATAAAAATTTAAATATAATTTTTATTTGTATAATTCTATGTTTTAAAAGAACAGTGATCTGCTTAAAAAATATTAAATTATTATTTTAATATTTAAATTAATATCAATTTAAATATTACAAAATTGTGATATTATTTTATTAAATTATGAATAAAAATAAAAATCTGATATATCTTGCAATATATAATGGCCTTAATAATATTACAAATATTTTTAAAAAACTAAATTAATGTATTGTAAAATTATTTGAGGGACTAATAAATATTAAATTTTAATTTAGAACTTACCTATGCATTTTTTTTTCTTTTACACGGTAACCATTCATTACTCAAATAAATTAAATATATATACCTACTCTCATAAAATATTCAGTTCACAGTGTGAACTGTAAGTTCATATTAACGTTCATTTAAAAAATATATAAAATTTAATAATTATTTTACAAATTCTCCTTATATACAAAATATTTTACCTTAAAACATTAGGATACATGATATATGTAACTTTAAAATTAATTATTATAAAAAGAATGATTCTTATTTGAGATAGAATAATAATATAAATATTGTCGGTTCCAATTAAGTTTATATTAAAAAAATTCTATTAACTCAACGATATAATTTTATGATTCAGAAAACTATTTTATCAAAGAATGAAATATACAAAGTTAAATCAAATAAATTTTATTTTAATATTATTTTATTAGGACTTATAAGGATACATTTATATTTAGTAAAAAATATTAAATAGGCATTATATTAATGTATATATTTTATTTATATATAATAAAATAGTATTAAAACTATTGTATGTCTCGTAGTGTGTATATATGTGAGTTTAAAATATTAAAATATAAGAAATCGAGAAAAATATAAATTAGTTTCTTAAAATATAATGATAAAATTTAAAATTGTCATAAATATTCTATCATCATGTTCAGACTAATTCGAGCATATGCTGTGTAAGGCTGTCGAAAGTATTTAAAAAGAAAAGCTGTTTAAGGAATAAATCTGACGATGTCTAATATTAAAAAGCTTGCAATATACTCATTCTGATTCAATTAATAAAAAATTATTATTATTATTTTACTTAATTTGTAAAAATAAATATATATTTTATGTATATTATTTTATACTTTTATTTATTGTAAAATGTATATTAATAATACATACACTTATTATTCAAATAAGTGAATATATTTATTGATCAAGAGATTGTTAGGAAGAATTTTTTTCAAAAGAAAAGGACATATTTTTTAATTTTGAATTGAGATAATTATATCTTATTTGTTATGATAAATGCACAATTAGAATATTAAATTATATATATATATATATAATTTTTGAAAAAATAAATTTAAATAAATTTATTTAAAATAAAAATTATTTTTCTCTTATTTTTCTTTTAAAACTCTCGTGGTTATTAATTTAATTATTTAATACTAGAAATATTTTAGAATATATTATAATTTTAATGATATATGGTTATTTTAATTTTAATGATATATGGTTATTTTTTTTATTAATTTTAACAAATTAATTATTAAAAAGTAAATATATAAATAACACATTAAAGGAATGATATCATAATTTGAGACAAAATAAAATAAAATTTCTTACTACCTTTACATTTTGAGCTAATTTTCTTATGTCTGTTTTAAATGTTTGAAAACTACAACGTCTTCCGAATAAATTCTTAAAAAGTTTAAACTTTATCTTATAATATTTTTACCAACTATTTTTGTGTTGCATGTTTATACAATTCACATTATTTAATAAATATTATATAACTTAAACAATTTAAGTAATTCAGCTAATCGAGTTGATTATAAAATTTTAAGCCTTAATTTTATATTTATTTATAATTATAAAAGGTCAATTTGATAAAATTGAACTCAATTACATCTTTAACTTATTTATTATAATGAGAAACAATGATAAAATTTGGACCAAATCCATTTTCTTTCTCATCATCAGCTATTTAATCAAACACTGTGATGATAAAAATAATAATAATTTATTCTGAAAAAAATAATAAAATACATTTTAATTTTATATCTTAAAGGTTTCATTATTATTTTTTATATAATTTTGACTATAAATTTTGAATTAAAAATTACAGTCAAAGATATTTGCTAAATAATAATGTTTTATAATGATTTTATTTTTCTACTTATATCCGATAAAACGTAAAAGATATTAGCAAAATGTGAGGCACATACGCTCCATGCCTTTGCCTTGATTGAACTAACAAGTCTCACTACAACTCATACGTGCAGGATACTCCCTTCTTCCCTTGTTTATTTTTCTGCCTCTTAATTTGATTAGAAAAATAAAATAAATAATTATAATAAATGACCATAAATAATAAATAAATATTGGATGAAAAAAAAAGAAACTAAATTGATACATAATATTAATAAACAAAAAAAATGAATAAAAAAAAAATCTAAAATGGAAGCGACCCAGAATTCTGTTTTAAGGGTTTTGGGCTTCATCAATCAATTTCATGTAGAAAATCTAGAGAGTGATGAGAAAATTTATGAGGAACACAGAGACATTTTAGAGAGAAGATGAGAGAGAGAAAAGAGGGCAGCTTAAGCCAGCTGGGTTAGATGGATTTAGATTCTCATGGAAAAAGTAAAAAAGCCCCATTTGTGAGATTTTAATCTTTTTTTTTGTTCAGATCACAGACAGAGAAAGTGAAGAGAGAAAAAAAGTATACAATTAATGTTGTAATTTATTTTATTCTGTATAAATAAATGCAGGGAGATTGATGAATGAGATCGTGTGTGTGTAATTTGGATGCTCAATCATCTCATCTCATCTCATCTCTTCTAATCAGGCCTCTTCTCTCAACCCTTCATTCTGAATCCCCATTTGCTGGGTCGTCACAGATACTCTCAACTCTCACAAATTCAAACGCACAGATTTCTCCCTCTCCAAACGACATCGTATCACTCATCGGAATTTGCCTCGCGCAAGGTAAGCCCCACCAATGCCACCGTCGTCGTTTCCATGTTTATTTTTCCTCACCTAGGTTTTTCCTTATTTGATTTTTCTATTTTTTCTTTTTTTCTTTAATCGATTTTCGTCTCTCCTTTTTATAACTGTTTTCGTTGTGTTCAGATGAATTTCATTGGAAGAGTTTGGTAAATTGTTCGTTCTGATAGTGAGAGCCATAATTCACTGTGTGGTTGGGTTAGGGTTCGATTTTCCCAGTGGAAGGGTTTTGGGATTTTAGAGAAAGGGGTGGTGGTGGTGTGTAGAACCAATTATCGCACTTCAATTAGCATTTGCGAAAATGCAATTGCTGCTACCTTCTGGGTTGAGAAAAGTATTTCATGGAGTATTACTAGCTTAGTGTTTTTTTTATTTTTTATTTTTATTTTTTAAATTGGGCAATATTTGTTAATGTGGTTTGTGGATGTATTATCTGCATGACATCAGTATCGAGGAGTTTTAAGATTCTAGGACCTCAGGTATGAATCATCATAATATTCACGATAACATACTGAGAAAACAGGGTAATTCAGAGCCTGTTCCTTTTCTTCTTTTATTGCTATTCATATACTATTTAAGATTATTGTCTAATAAACAGGATGGGTGGGAAGATAAAAATGCGATCAACATTGTCCCTGTTACGTTGCATATGATAATTGTTTCAACATTTATAGTGTAAAGATCATAGGTTTAGAAGATTGGAGGCACTGTCATCTTTGAACAGAATTGTAGGCATTTATGAATGTGAATGTATCATGTACGCATTGGTTTTAGTATATATTTTTGGTTCATTTGTTTTGTTATTTCATATTTTCCTAAAGGAGAAATGGCTGATTGATACAAAATTTTGTAGTGGCAAAACTATTTTTCTGGATTTAGTTATAGGTTTCATCTTTCTTTCTGTTTTTAGAAGAATTGTAGGCAAACAGTATAGTTTTTGAGAATCAGGATTCTTCCTTAAGGAGACATTCGAGGAAAAAAAATGAAAGTCATTGGCTCAAGTGAGTGCTCCATTCTCTGCTTGTATGGCGATGAAGTCTCCTAAATAATTTATCAATCCACTGGCCTGTACAATAATAACTTTTTATAAAAGCAGTGTGGGTAAAAGACTGGCTATAAGTTATATGGCGTATACTCAAATACACTCCTTTTATGGACCCAAAATTTTGAACATGCTCCGTAGAGAAAATGTTACAGCCTAACACATATCCAAGTAAATCCCTGGCATGCCTACACGTTATAGAAAAAGATGACCAGTAGCCACTGAACTTCAAAAATTTCACAAATAGGATAAGATAAATCATTAATTCCTGATGCAGCTTTTGTCCTTGTGAATTGTTGTAAATCATTCATGCTAGTCCTAAAAAATTTCATCTTTATTTTAACTTATGTTTTGTTTTAATTAGGTACTACCTGAATCTAAAAATAGTTGGTCAAGCATTCTACGGTTCAGACGGAATACTGATATGAGACTTGAATCGGGGACTTGTAATGTGTGCTCAGCTCCTTGTTCATCTTGCATGCATCTTAACCATGGTCTCATGGGCTCAAAGGATGAAGAGTTTTCTGATGAAAACTGTCGCTTAGGAGAAGCTAATAATCAGTATTCTATGGATGAGGGTAATGTCTATTCTCTTAGGAGCAGAGTTTGTGAAAGCTCACAGCATGCTGTCAGTGAAGCTAGTAATATGCAGGGTGTTAATTCAAGTCATGATTCTCTATGTGAAAATGCTGAGAGTAGACAGATCCTGTCGAATAAGTATCAGGATTCCAAGTATTTAGAAGGTCATGATGACAACACTTCTTGTATTAGTAGAGCCAGTGATGCTAATTTAGTGAATGATAGCCATGAAAGGAATGCGGAGAGAATAAATATATCTTTCAGTTCAGCTTCATTTAGTCAGATAGGAGCAGAAGGATCTGGAAGTGCTCCCTCTGTAGACACTGGCCATAGCTCACCTGAGGTACAAAGGTTATGTGAGCAATCTCGAAGGGGTAAATCTCTCTCTGGTAATCCAAACTTAATGCATGTGGAAAGGGATTTGTGTCCTCATATCCCAGAAAAATTGTCGGAATGCTCTATTGAGAATTCTAGTTCATCATTGACCAAAGAGAGGGAGCCTATTGTTGTGTCTGATGAGAAAATTATTGCCAATAAGGATGGCCTTAATGAGAGTACTTCTGAGATTTCACTAAAAGTATGTCCAAAGTCAGAGGCAGATACTGATGCCTGTGACGCTAACAATGAAGTCCATGATGAACAGTACAAGAAACATGAAGAACTGGTTAAATCACATCGTGAGCCGGAACCTCAGTCTGAAGATGAGAGTGATGAATCAGATGTTGTGGAACATGATGTGAGAATCTTTCCTTTTCTCTCTGTTAAAAGTGTTTTTTCATCCTAAAGTTGATTGAGATGAAAGGGGAGGAGTGGAATGTAATTGAATTTGTAGAGATGCTTAACCTCACTCAACTTCCATTTCTGATTTCCTTGACTGGAAAATAGGTAAAGGTGTGTGACATCTGTGGAGATGCTGGTCGTGAGGATCTACTTGCCATATGTAGTAGGTGCAGTGATGGCGCAGAGCACACGTATGCACAATTAACTTTCATCTTTCTTAGTTTCTATTATATAGTTTATATTGCTACAAATTCCTTTCTCTGAATTGAATCTTACCATTATTATTTATTTGAATCAGCTACTGCATGCGAGAAATGCTTCAGAAAGTCCCTGAAGGGGATTGGTTGTGTGAAGAATGCAAAGATGCAGACGAGAATGAAACTAAAAAGCTGGGTAAGAGTGAAATTGTAACATGAAAAGTCATTCTGGGTCAGAAGTTTCACACCCTTTGTGCTTTCTGCACACCAAATTTGCATGTTCTGATGTTGGGGGTAGCATAAACATTCAAGTACCCATATCTATATCTATGGCTGTATGCTGACATTTGTGAAATTGAATTTGTGATTCAGATGTTGAAGAAAAGAAAATTGTAGAAGTTAGTTTGACCTCACAAATTTCTGGCAAGAGAGTTTCTGATAACATTGAAGTAGCTCCAACAGCTAAAAGGCAAGCTCTTGAATCCAGCACAGGATCACCAAAGATGTCAAGCCCCAAGATATTGATTCCACCATCACGAGAATCATCGTTTAAGAGCTTAGATAAATTAAAAGTGAAGCCTGGTCTTCAGATGCCCATTCATAACCACGCTGGTGGTAATGATACAGAGACTGCTCGTTCTCCTTCCATTGGTCCCCGCAGTCAAATTTCAAAGAGTATTGATTTATCTTTCATCTGTTGTGCTTCACTACATATTTCTATGTTTGCTTTCCTTGGGTTTTAATTATCTTTTAAGCAACTGGTTTTCATAATGATTATGTATCATGTCTCTGGGGTTTCATTTATTTCAACACAATTTTGTTCTTATGAGCAGGTATGTTACTGAAGTCTAATTCTTTCAACAACGTAAATTCCAAGCCAAGAGTCAAACTTGTTGACGAAGTTGTTCCCCAAAAATCAAAAGGGGGAAATGAACATAATTCAAAGAATGTGGAGACACCTGCTCGGATGACTAGCAAATCAACATTATTCAAATCGTCAAGTTTGGGCCGATCAAATGCAACCGAGTCAAAAGTTAAAATGCTTTCGCCCAAGTCTCTCCCTACACATGAGTTGAAAGTATCTAGGCATTTAAAAGAATCAGGTGCATTTGAGAGGAAACATCTGTCGAGGATTGATCGGCCTGTGGCTAGTTCTGTTGTTTCCACTTCCAAGAGTGATCAAAAGCTTACACCCCGTGGTGAAACAACCTCTAAACCTTTGGCTGTTAACAACAATCGAGAGTTGAAGGTTAACCAGGATGGAAAATTCAGTGCGTTATCAAAGTCAATAAGTAATGTAAGCCGTAAAAGTTCAGGACCTCAAGTTAGTTCAGGTATCGTTTCAATCAGAAGCATATTGATCCTGCTAAAGTATTTTTCTTTTTTTACCTTCTTTTTTAGGGGTTGATTTGTTTCTCTCAATATTTTAGTTTAGGTTTCACAGAGCCATCATCTACGTTATTTTCCCTTTTTAAGTTTCAGTTTGGACATCTTTCAGTTGAAGATTTTGTATTCCAAACTATGTTTTCTGCAAATATTATCTCTTATTTCTTTGAATTTTTCAGAGAGAACATCAACCCGAAGTGATGAAGCTCAACAGGATGTGCTGCCTCGATCACGAGAGACAACAAATCAGGTTGAGAAAACCAGAGATAGTTCCAGTGATCGTGTAAGGCCAGTTGTTTCTGCTTCTTCAAAAAATCTATTCTGTCAAAAATGTAAAGAATTTGGCCATCCTTTGGAATGTTGCACACCTGGTACTACCCAGGAATCTGGTGCCGAAATATCTGTCAATACCTCAAGTAGTTCCAAAGAGGAGATGCATAAAGGCAATAAGTTGAAAGCTGCAATCCATGCTGCTTTACTTAGAAGGCCTGAAATTTACAAGAAGAAAGAAGAAGTATCTAATCAAACTGATGAAGTTTCTACATTGGGCACGGAGTTGAATTGTGAAGTGACTTCAAAAGACCAAGTGTTGGTTTCCAGCACACTGAAGAGTGGTATATCCTCTGATGAAACCCAGGAACAACAGGAAATCCTAGAGAACTCTTCATTGGATTCTTCCAAATGTTCATTTCCCAATGATTTGAAGCAACTTAACTCTTGTCCGACTGACTTTCGTTCCCATCCAGGAAAGTCAGATGCTATTAGTCTTAATGCTGGAAAGCCTGCAGTGAGAGACTTGTCTAATAAGGCTGTGTTGATCTCAAATTTTCCTTTGAAGATGTTGGCCTTTCCTGAATATGAATACATCTGGCAGTATGAAACATCTTTTAATGAACTAATTTGTCTTTAATTCTGGATTTTTCTTGCTGTATAAATTGTCATGTTTTGCAATCAAGTTTGTTCTACATACATAAGTTTTGTTGTTTGTGTGCAGGGGTATCTTTGAAGTTCATAGAAATGGAAAGCCTCCTGACTTATGTACCGGAGTTCAGGCACATTTATCCTCTTGCGCTTCTCGTAAGGTTCTTGAGGTAGTGACCAAGTTTCTACCGAAAGTTGCCCTCAATGAAGTTTCTCGCATAAGCACATGGCCTTTGCAATTTCATCATGGCGGTGCTAGAGAAGATAATATTGCTCTTTACTTCTTTGCCAGGGATATTGAAAGGCAAGTGCATGGATGTTATTCTTATATTGACAGTAGACCATGAAATGCTAATATTTTTTCATTATTTGGCTCCACTGTCATCACAATTGATCTTTTTTGGTAATTTTCTGACAGTTATGAGAGACACTACAAGGGTCTATTGGATCACATGATTAGAAATGATTTAGCGCTTAAAGGAATGTTTGATGGTGTTGAACTTCTCATATTCCCATCCAATCTGCTTCCTGAAAACTCACAGCGTAAGGAATTCTTCCATATTTTTGCCAAACAATCCAACATTGTAACCAACTTGTAAATAAATGCTTATGGATTTGGGGCTTGTTTCGAAGTTCATGCCTTGATTAGTGTTAATGGACTGCTGAAATTCAGTTCATATGCAATTTTAAAATGTCATAGGGAAAGATGATTTCATAATTCTATATTACAAAGAGGAGCATTCTTTTATTCCGGAGTGCACATTTTTTTTTTAATTTAAATGGTTACTTGGGCATACACCTGAGTGGTGAGCCTCATTTATTTTGATTCAGGATTTTAATTCTATCTATTACTTTATATGATGTTAGAATTCTGAGTAAGATTGGCATGGATGACATGAAATACATTAAGGTTGCAAAAAATGAGAAATTTTCTATATTGAATTTAGATGAAGTCAAATGCAATAATTTGATCATGCAGTTAGTAGGCATTATTGTGTCAGTAGTGCTATGTTTCCGGTCAATCTTTGGTTCCTCGTTTGATTATGAGTGGGTGCTAAGCTATAAAATATTCTTTAGCCTTTACATAATAACTTAAATTTTTGGGAGACTTGGTCCTCAATTGCTGTAAACTTCTTCCACCATCTCTCTTAGTTGCAAATGTAAAGCAGAGTGGTGACAACACAATGACTAGCTTTTGTGGTGTGGTTCTCCCAATGCATGTAACAGTTGGTGAATCAAAGCATTCATAATCAAGGGGTCATGAATTTGATTTTGTCATTCTTCTAATAAAAAATTGAATTTTAGCAAAAGATAGGTGTGCCTATGCTGCTGTGCATTGTCCTTGCTTTAGGCTCAAAGGATTCATATGTATGGGGCCATGTTAGATTTAAAACCATTCACGAGCCTTCACCAATTGCTTAAGCTCATGGGGCAGGGTTGGTCCTTGACAGTTGGGTATGTCAAGCTTGAAGTTTATGTTATCTGAAATTTTAAATGCATATATATGTAACCACAATTTTTAAGGTTGTTTAAATTTGCTTATTGATACATATGTTTAGACTGCTAACAAAACTCTTTTTTGGCAGGATGGAATATGTTGTTTTTCTTATGGGGCGTATTTAAGGGGAAGAGGATCATTCATTCAGATACTGCAGAAAAGATTTGTATTCCCAGTTTGAATGCTGTGCCAGTTGAGATGAATTCTTCTACTGTTGTGACTTTGCCTGAAACACATTGTTCGCCAAAGTGCATGCATGAAGAATCAAGTGATAGTGATAAAGCATGCACTGCAGTTCTCCCATCCACATCCATAGACCAGCATCAGATTACTTTAACTGGGAATATTGATGTGAATCACCAGACACATCCGGGTTCACAAGTAAACTTAGATAGGCTAGATAGTAAGATTGACTGGAAATCTACATCAAGGGTTCCGACAAACAGTACTCTATTATGTCAAGAAATGAAATCCACTGGTTCATCCCTGGTAACGTTTTTATCCTTAAATTCATAAAATTTGACAGACTAAAATGTTTGTTTTTGACTTGACAAATTTATTTGTATGTACTTGTGTTGTCAACATTGTGATATCACTGATATGTCGTGGAATCTCATACTATTAAGTTTGAAATGCTATTTTGATTCCCAAGATAGATTATGGAGATAGCTTTTTACAAATTTTGCTCGACATTGATAAAAATTTAGTTTTGAGGTCTGCAAATCACTATTTAGGAACCCATTTTATGAATATGTGTTATCTTTTATGCTAATTATCTCAGTTTGTTGATAGATGTTCTTCCTTTATGCAGAAAGCTAGTGAAGATGAAGATGGACAGTGCAGAGAGTCTAAACCTCCTGATGCAATGGGAACAAATGTAAGCAATAGGATTGTTGAAGCAAAAACTGATTCTGATATTTCTGTCAAGCAAGAGAATGGTTTGTCTCCGCTGATTCCTTTTGAAAGAGTTGCTGTTTGCAATATTAGTAAAGATAAAATTTTCAATAGAATGAACAGTGAAGATGAACAAAGGCCTAAGAGGAAACAGAAAGAGCATTGTCGCTATATTGATTTGGAGGCGAATATTGATAATAATGAAGGAACAGGTGCTGCAAGCAATTTTAGTAAGGATAGAAGTTCAGAAACAATGATTAGTGATGTTGAAAATCAACAAAGGCCTAAGAGGAAACAGAAAGATGAACCTTATATAGACTTGGAGGCAACTATTGAAACTGAAGAAACATGTGTTGTAAGCAATATCAGTATTGATAAAATTTCAGAAAAAATTGTCAGTGATGAAGATCAGGGATGGCTTAAGAGGAAACAGAAAGACAATGATCACTGCATTGACTTGGAGGAAACTTTTCAGGACGAGCTTAGTGTAAAAGGGATCGACTGTCAGGTACCTAATGATAAAGTTCAGAATTTAGATCTTTCTGACACAGTTATGGGGGCTTCTGTAGTCAGTTGTCAGAAAATGCCTTGGAATGAGGGAAATGAAAAGTTATTTGGTGGAGAAAGTTCTAGCAAGAAACTAAAGACAGGTTTCAGTGGGATTTATGGATCTTCCAGTTCTAGAGGCGGAAACTCTTTTAATAACAATTTTACATCTCTTAGAAATGACCTTGGTTCTTCTTCCTCTTCAGTCAAGGACAAAGGATGTGAAGAAGCTTGTGATGAGAAAATCATTCATGAGGATTTGGGAACAATGGAAAGAACCTTTTTTCCTATTGATACCCAGCATATTAGTGACTCCCAATCGGTGCTGAATAGCATGTCAATGAAAGGGCTTCATGAGTCTGAGGAACAATTTCAAGATGTCATTCCCAATCTAGAGCTTGCTTTAGGGGGTAAAACAAAACCACTGCCGCCACCCCCACCCCCACCTCCACCTGTGCCTAAGGGTATGTTGCCTTTCTTAGTTGGGGCAGTAGACAGAAAAAATAACCAACCAGATGGCTTAGGAGATGGGCAGGAGGATGATGGTGTTGCTGCCTCTCTTTCCCTTTCTCTATCCTTTCCATCTTCAAACAAGGAACACACAAAAGCTGCTTCAAAACCAGAGCTTTTGCCTGATGGGCACCGTGTGAACACCTCGTTGCTCCTTTTTGGGAGATTCACAGACAAATAAATTTGCTGGCTGCTTTATGTTTCCAATCATGTAAATTATGTTGTTCTGGATTGTCCATCCTGTATGATAGATAAGCTTCCAGTCCCTATACAAAGCAGCCATTGTCCTCAACAAGAATCAACAAGTTTTTTTTTTTTTTCCTGTAGTTTTTTAGACCTTAGTTATATACATGTTTTTATGCTAGTTTTTTGGTTTTCAGAATGCACAGTTATGGCTGTTTGTATATATAGAGAGAATTTAAGCCGGCATAATTTCAATAATCTTACTAGGAACTTGCGGATGACTATTTTTTTTGGCAGGCTTTCCTCTATTCCTTGCTTCATTTTCCCCTCTTTGCACTCGGTATTCGTTAAGCACTTAATTATATAATTAAATCAATAAGGTGAATATTATTTTTATATGCAATTTAAAATATTTTTTAAATAAAAAATTATTTTAAATTGAACCGCAATAATTTCATGTACAAATAAGACAATACTGCTTACTCATGCGATCTGACGTCACGCGCATCTCTATCATGCGTTTGCTGTGATTGAACTAATAAGTCTCTCACAGCGTCTCACACGTGTGGAATACTTCATTCACATGCTCTCCAATAGAATACTGCTTTATTCCTCTTATTATAGAACAAATAGTGTTGAGTAAGTATTAGATTCCAAGTATTTCAACTTCGGTGTCTCGAAGTGCTCCCTCCCTCAGTATAGTGGCCATAAGGTACAAAAGCTGTATGAGCAATCTCGAAATGGTAAATCTCTCTCTGGTAATCCAAACTAATACCCAATCACATCCTATAGCAAATTGTTCCCTCACCAAATTTCATGCTCCATAATTCAAATGAATGTCACTTGTTAATTTGTTAGGAAGAAATTAAATCAGAAACTAAGCGGTAGTAATCGGTATCATAGTCATTAGTTTACTTTCTTTTTGTCATCTCTGGTATGGTACAAAATAAAAAAAGGCCCAAAAGCATCAATTGTGTGGGTAACTCCCAAACACGTCCCAACCATTCCAGTTGATCAGTTTTTCTATTTTTGGTTTCTTTTGTTCATGGGTTGCTGCATGGCATGCTTTGATAATCACATTTATGGCTTTGGTACTGCACTTTACTCTCATTCTGACATTATTGAAACGCTCCTTTTATCCTTTTCAAATAGTAATACATAGGAGAAATGTTGCACACTATATGTTTGATAATTTGTCTGATATGGATTATGAAATCCATTGATTGTTTTCTGCTAGGGTTTCGTGGTGTCTATGATATAATTTGAAACTTGTTTGAAACTGTCAATGCTATTTGATTGTTCATTGTTGTGAATATGATAATCAAGCGTGTTGGGTTAGAAACGAAGTGAAGTTAAAGTATAAACTAAATTAAAAGGAGAGATATTAATAAACTTATTTAATGAAGCGATTGGAACTTCTGGCTTTACTGATACTGTTTGCTTTATCTAAGCCTGCAAGACTTCTTTCTTAGGCTGTTATCTAAGTTGTGATTCTCTATCTCTCTTTTTTTCATATCAGATAAGGGCGTTGGGCTTTATAACAGAGGAATCAGATTGAATATTCAGATTGCTCGTATATAATTGTTTATGAGGTTGTATGAGATTTGGCTTGGATGTAATCCTTATCATTGACTGGTTTTCTCTTATTCGGTTCTCTTGTTGGGTCTGCCCAAAGTTGTGCGGTGATACTTTCTTTGAATCTCAAACAAACTAAATGTCTCCAATAAAGTGTCAGTGCTCTTGGCTGCTTTCCAATTCTTCACCAGTAATGGCAGCTAATGACAAGATCAATGATGCGAGACATACTAATTTTGCTCAAATACCTTCATGGATCTCTTTGAAACACAGTCATTATTCGTTGAGGACCCATCAAAATAAACAAGGCCATGTTGAAAACTTGCATTTGATTTCTTTAGCTAAACAAGGGAAGCTTAGAGAAGTGCATGACTTCATCAAAAGCATGGACGAAGCAGGTATTTCCATTAATCCCCGATCATACGAATACCTCTTCAAAATGTGTGGAATGTTAGGGGTGCTGTCTGATGGAAAATTATTTCATAATAGACTGCAGAGAAGGGCTGACGGCAATAAATTCATTGACAATTGTATTCTTCAAATGTATTGTGACTGTAAAAGTTTCTCAACTGCAGAGAAATTCTTTGATGAAATAGTTAACCGGGATTTGTTCTCTTGGGCCACCATTATATCTGCTTACACTGAGGAATGACGTATAGATGAAGCTGTTAGATTGTTCGTACGTATGCTGGATTTGGGTATCTCACCAAACACCTCTATCTTCAGTACTCTTATGGCGTCTTTTGCAGATCCTTCAGTGTTAGATTTCGGCAAACAGATACATTCTCAGTTGATAAGGATTGGGTTTACTGCCAATGTTTCTACTCAGACATTAATCTCCAACATGTATGTCAAGTGCGGGTGGTTGGATGGTGCTGAAGTTGCCACCAATAAGATGACTAGGAAAAATGTTGTGGCTTGCACTGGGTTGATGGTGGGCTATAATCAAGCTGCAAGGCATAGGGATGCTCTGTTATTATTTGCCAAGATGTTAATTGAAGGTGTAGAGTTGGATGAATTTGTCTTCTCAGTTGTGCTCAAGGCATGTGCCGCATTAGGAGACTTGTACACTGGAAGGCAAATTCATAGTTACTGTCTAAAACTTGGCATGGAATCTAAGGTCTCAGTTGGTACTCCACTAGTGGACTTCTATGTTAAGTGTGCAATGTTTGAAGCTTCACGTCAAGCTTTTGAGAGTATACGTGAACCAAATTATTTTTTGTGGAGTTCTTTAATTGTCGGATATTGCCAAAGTGGTCGATTTGATAAGGCTCTTGAGGTTTTTAAGACAATAAGAAGTAAAGGAGTGTTATTGAATTCATTCATCTACACCAACATTTTTCAAGCATGCTCTGCTGTCTCATATTTAAATTACGGTGCTCAAATTCATGCAGATGCAATAAAAAAGGGGCTAGTTGCATACCTCTCTAGGGAGAGTGCTATGATCACTATGTACTCAAAATGCGGCAAAATGGACTATGCACATCAAGCATTTTTTATTATAGAGAAACTTGATACTGTTGCATGGACTGCAATAATATGTGCCATGCTTACCATGGCAAAGCTTATGAAGCTTTGAGGCTTTTTAAAGAGATGCAGGCGTCTGGTGTAAGGCCAAATGCTGTCACATTCATAGGTTTGTTAACTGCTTGTAGTCACTCAGGTTTAGTTAAAGAGGGAAAGCAGTGTTTGGATTCAATGAATGACAAATATGGTGTGAACCCATCAATTGATCATTACAATTGCATGATTGATATATACTCTCTCGTGCTGGATTATTACAGGAGGCTCTTGAGGTGATAAGGAGTTTGCCATTTGAACCTGATGTAATAATGAGTTGGAAAAGTTTACTTGGAGGATGTTGGAGCCATCGGAATCTTGAGGTTAGGATGATTGTAGCTGATAAGGTCTTTCATCTGGATCCACTAGACTCTGCTACTTATGTAATCATGTTCAACCTATATGCTTGGGCTGGGAAGTGGGATGAAGCAGGAAAATTTAGAAAGATGATGGCTGAAAGGAACTTGAGGAAAGAAGTCAGTTACAGTTGGATTATTGTGAAAGGTAAAGTTCACTATTTTGTGGTAGGTGACAAACACCACCCTCAAACAGAACAGATATACTCAAAATTAAAAGAACTTGATTTTGCTTTCAAAAAGGGTGAGGAAAACCTTCTCAATGTAAAGGATGCGCTATGTGACTTTACCGAACAGAAAGAGCAGCTTCTTGATCATAATGAGAGACTAGCTATAACTTATGGTCTCATATGTACCACAACTGTGACCCCCATTATGGTATTCAAAAATACTCGATCATGCAAAGACTGTCATGATTTTGCAAAAAGAGTCTCGACAGTAACTGGTCGTGAATTAATTGTGAGAGATGCCAACAGGTTCCATCATATTAATTCAGGGCAATGTTCTTGCCGTGATTACTGGTGATTTTTGCTAAGTTCTTCTTAAGGTCTAAGCTGCTTGGTTTTTCTTAATGCTGCATCAGTTACAGAGTTGAATCATCATACAATTGGATATGCAAAGCTCTTGCTGGATTACTATAGATGAGTATCATAAGCCAACTTCTGGTGCAGCTATCCTTGTCATTGTTATAAATCCACCGTATTCTTTCTTACATCTAAGACAAAGTGATACTCAGAATTTAAGTCTCCATAGTTTTTTATGCATAATTGTTAAGTAATGGGCACTCCTCCATGGAGGTTCCATATTCAAATCCTGTGGTAGTCAGGTGGTTCGGACCTCAGCTGATTGTACTGTTAGGATCAAGCAACTTCCATTGCACCAAATGCTACAGGGACTTTACCATGGTAGTTGCCGTCCCTAGGGATGTTAAGGCCTCACCTTCCACTGCACCAAGAGGTATATGTTAGTCTGGCTATGCTTTATTTTCTTATAGCCTTTTGGAAGTGCATCAAACATTGATGGCTAGATCTATCCAAAGGACTAGGAGAGGAATGTTAAGCCCAATAATTCTAGAAGGGAGAGGTATTAAAGCCCAGAGTACCTACCATATTAGGAATAAGAAAGAAATGAAAAGGGGAAAAAAAGACATAATTACCATCACCTTCATGTACAATTGATTAGGCATTATTTTTCATAAATAGTTAAGATGTTTACCACTTTCTTGCTCTTGTGTCCTTGCTGACTATCAGACTTGTTACAATTGTCATTTTTTTTGTTCAGTTAATTAAAAATTGGGAGTGATACAAAGGATACCACCGGATCAACCTTCCACATGCGATTCTTATCTTACATTCGACAATTTGAGAATGTTTTGTAGTTAAAAGAAGTTATCTATGATTATTTTTGCACAAACATATAAAGACAACTTATATAATAATTTTTGATACTAAAAGCTTGCAAAAATATTGTATGATTAAATTGGTATATATATATATATATATATATATATATATATTTACTAGAAGGATATTCGGAGGTTTATAGGTTTGGGGCTTGCTTTGAAGTATTTGCTTTGATTAGTTTTAATGAACTGCTAAAATTCAGTTCATATGCAATTTTAAAATGTCTTGGTGAAAGATGATTTCGGAAATCTCTATTACAAAGAGGAGCATTCTTTTATTCTAGAGTGCGCAATTTTTTTGCTCTAATTTAAATAGCTACTTGGGCATACACGTGAATGGTGATCCCCGTTTATTTTTATTCAGGTTTTTAATTTTATTTATTGACTTAAATGATATTAGAATTTTGAGTAAGTTTTGTATCGATGAAATGCATTAAGGTTGCAAAAAGTGAGTGTGTTTTATATTGAATTTGGACCAAGTCAAAAGCAGTAATTTAACCATGCATTTAGTAGAGGTGGTGTTTGGATGTAAAATCATTTTTTTAGCCTTCACTTAATAAATTTAAATTTTAGGAGAGTTGGCCCTCAAATGGTATAAGATCCTTCCATTGTGTCTCTTTGTTGCAAAGCAGAGGTGGTGGTGATACTGGCATTGTTTTTTCTCGCACTTTGACTTGTCAATGAACTAGTGCATGTGCACAGTCAGCCAAGTTGTCACACCACAATGGCTAGCTTTTGTAGTGCTGTTATCCCAATGTATTGATCAAATCTTCTGATAAAAATTGAATTTTAGCAGAAGATAGATGTGCTTGTGCATTGTCCTCGCTTTAAGCTCAAAGGACTCTTTTGTAAGGGGTCATATTGGTTTTAAAACCATTTAGTTTTAAAAAATGTTTGTTTTTTTACTTAAAATCTTCCTTTTATGAACTTGTGTTGTCAACATGGTGATCTGATAATGGATTCTCATACTATTTAAGTTTGAAATGCTATTTTGATTCCCGAGACAGATCATGGAGACTACTTTTTACAATTTTTGCTCAACATTTATGGTCTTACAATGAGATTTCTTTACTGCTTAGTTTGAAGGTCTGCAACGATGCAATTTTTGAGGCTTTTGTATCACAATATTACCATGTTAGCAATCTTGATATATTTATTTAAGGGAAGGCAAACAGGTTGTTTAATAATTAAATATAGTAATGTAATGCTAATATTAGACTCCGTTTTGTGAAGGAGAAACCTATTAATTGAAAGCCTGTATGTGTGAAGGATGAAATCCCTTGTATGTGTAACTTCTAGTTGCTTTTTCGTTATGGTGTGAACCCCAGAAATCCTCACTATTTAGGAGCCCATTTTATGAAGAGTATGCATTATCTTTGATGACGATTATCTCAGTTTTTTGATAGATAATCTTCTTTTATACAGAAAGCTGGTGAATTTGAATAGGGACTATTTAGAGTATCTAAACCTTCTGATGCAATGGGAATAAGTGGAAGCAGAAGGATTGTGGAAGCAAAAATTGATTCTGATATTTCTGTCAAGCAAGAGTGATATGACAAAGCTAGGAATTTTAGAGAATCCGAAGGATTTGCATACAACAGGGAATCCAATAGAAAATAATGGAATCTGAGTAAATCTTTATTGATGAAGAACAGAAAGAATTTTTTTACAATAGAAGAGTGTCAAATCTTAAACTAATGATTCTCAACAACAATTTCCTATTTATAGCTGCACTTCATAACAACTTGTAACAACTTTTCTAATTTTTGGAATAACTGCCAAACAACTTCTAAACTAATCCTTCAATCTATTACCACGTGTCTTTATTACAATAAGACCCGTATCAATCAATCTATTACCATGTGTCTTTATTACAATAAGACCCGTATCAATTCCCCACCTTTAAAGGAATCCTTGTCCTCAAGGATTGAAGTTAAGGAACCGCTTCTTCAAATCAAAGAAAAATTCCCAAGTAGCATATTCAATCAATTGATGCCTCCACTTTACCAAAACCTTGGTAACAACTTTGTTGTCCCCTTTTAACAGTCATTCTATCTAAGATTGCTTCAGGCTCCTTTCCTCCAACAGCAGTATCCAAGGTAGCAGGTAATTCAGCAGCAGGACCAACATGCTTCTTAAGCTGAGAAACATGAAAAACATCATCGACTTGAGAATGAGTAGGAAGCTGTAGTTGGTATGCCACCTCGCCAACACGATCTAGCACAACAAAGAGACCATAATACTTAGGACTAAGCTTGACATTGCTCTTGAAGGCAACAGACACTTACCTATAAGGATAGAGCTTCACATAGACAAGATCACCAATCTCAAATTTCCTGTCAGTTCTGTGCGTATCAGCAAGCTGTTTCATCTTGTGTTGAGCTCTTTCCATATGGAACTTGACTAACTTCAAAACTTCTTCTCGCTTTTGCAAACTCCTATCAACAAGCTCAATTTTATACTCTCCAGGAAGGTATGGTAAGTAGACAGGAGGGACTTGACCATAAACTACTTCATAAGGAGTTGCATTGATTGAGCTGTGATGTGTGGTGTTATACCACCATGCAGCAAGTGGTAACCATTGAGACCAAGCATTAGGAATATCATAACACATACATCTCAAGAAGGTCTCAAGACACCTATTGATAACTTCCGTCTGTCCATCGGTTTGAGAGTAATAGGCAGTAGAAAATTGTACCTGGACTCCTTGCAAAGACATCAAATCTTTCCAGAAGTGGCTAGTGAATGTAGGGTCTCTATCACTGGTGATTGAATCTGGAAATCCATGAAGCTTAAACACATTGTCAAGAAAACATTGAGCCACATTAGTTGTAGTGTAAGGAGGACTCAAAGCCATAAAGTGGGCATCCTTACTCAATCTATCAACGACCACATATATGACTTGTTTCCCATTGAAATTAGGGAGACCTTCAATAAAGTCCATTGTGATATGATGCCACACTCTTTCAGGTATAGGCAGAGGCTGTAACAACCCTGGAGAAGCTGAAGTGTCATATTTACAAGTTTGACACACAGAACACTGTAAAATCCATGTTTTGACATCTTTAGTTAATCCCTTCCAATAGAGGAATACCTGCATTCTTTTCAACGTTGCTGTTTTGCCGGAATGTCCACTAGTAGCCAAAGAATGTAGCTAAGTGAAAAGTTCTTTCCTCAAAATTCCATCTTGACCAACCACCAATCTCCCTTTTCTTCTTAACTCAGAATTCTGCCAAACACAATCCTTATGAGAGAGAGGATCAGCTTGCAACTCAGAAATTAACTTTTGCAAATACTGATCAGCTTGCCAAGAAAGCCTAACTCTATTTAATAGTTCAGATTCAACTGAGAATGTAGAGATGGCTTGGCATGTGATAGGTTCCTGTCTAGATAGTGCATCAGCTGCAACATTTTCATGACTTTGCTTGAAATCAATGGAGAAGTCAAACTTCATCAACTTGACTAACCACTTCTGTTGGAAGGCAGTAGTCAATCTTTGCTTAAGGATGTACTGCAAGCTCCTATGATCAATTCTAATGATGAAATGATTACCAAGGAGGTAATGTCGCCATTTTTGTACTGCAAAAACTACAGCCAAAAGCTCCTTCTCATAAGTTGATAAAGATTGCTGCTGCGAATTAAGAACTCTGCGTATAAAAGTAATAGGGTGGTGATCCTGCATTAACACAGCCCCAATTCCTTGACCTGAAGCATCAACCTCCAAAACAAAAACCTTCAAAAAGTCAGGTAAGGCAAGGACATGTGCTTGAATCAATGTAGTTTTCAACTTCTGAAAAGTTGTCTTGGCTTCAACAAACCAAGTAAAGCTATCCTTTTTAAGCATGTTAATCAAAGATCTAGTAATAGGATTGTAATTCCTTACAAATCTTCTATAATAACCAGTTAAGCCCAAGAATCTCTGCAACTGCTTTAAAGACTGAGGTAAGGGCCAATGCTGTACTACAGCAACCTTAGTAGGGCCAGTGGCAACACCTTCCTTTGAAATAAAATGTCCAAAATACTCAACTTTATCCACAATAAAGTAACACTTAGATTTTTTTACATAGAGAGAATTGCACCTCATAGTTGACAAAACCTACCTTAAATGATTTAAATGCTCTTCTAAACTGCTGCTATAGATGAGGATATCATAAAAAAGGACAAGGAGAAATTTTCTTAGGAACTCCTTAAAGACAATGTTCATTAATTCTTAGAAGGTTGCAGGAGCATTGGTTAAGCCAAAAGGCATGACCAAGTACTCAAAATGACCTCCATGTGTCTTGGAGGCAGTTTTTTGGATATCTTCATCAGCCATACAAACTTGATTATAGCCAAACCTTAAGTTTATCTTAGAAAACACCATAAAACCATGAAATTCATCTAAAAGATCATCCACCAATGGTATAGGAAACCTGTTTTTTACTGTATGTTTGTTTAACTCCCTGTAATCAACACATAATCTCCATAAACCATTCTTTTTTCCTACTGAAACTATAGGCTAGCATAGGGACTGCTACTTTTCTGTATAATACTAGACTTGAGATATTCCTTCACCAAACCATCTATAACATCTTTCTGTTGCTTAGAGTACCTGTAAGGCCTTTTATTCATAGGGTTAGTTCCTTGAATAAGAGGTATATGATGATCATGACCTTTTCTCTGTGGTGGAAGTGTGGTAGGTTCCTAAAAAATGTCATCAAATTCTAACAAAAGGGCATCAACAATAGTGGGCAAAGAATTAACAAGAGCATGAGTGGTAAGTGAATGAAGCAGTAGTTCATCCTCTTGATAACACATCTATAACATTGACAAGTGGACACCCGAAGCAAGTGTCTTGCTTAACTGTTGTCTTCTCACAGTTTTTAACCCCAAGGAAGATGCTCCTCTCAAAACCAACTTCCTTCCCTTCATATAAAATTGCATGGACAATTTATCAACATTTCATGTAATATCTCCAAGCTTCACAAGCCATTCAATACCTAATACCAAGTCACAACATCCTAGGGGAATGAGAAACATATCAGAAGTGAATGTATGTTGTTGCAAGGTCCATTGAAACTATTTTGCCATAGAAGTTATAGAAACCTTAACTCCGTCGGCCACTGCTACACTAATGGGATCAATAGCTTCCATCTTACAACCAATCTTCTTAGCTATGTTAACATTCAAGAAATTGTGGGTACTACCACTGTCTGTGAGGATGTGCAAGATAGTGTTCTTGTAGTAAGCAGTGACCCTCATTGTTTTGAAACTTGCAACTTCAGTGAGAGCATTTACTGAACCACAATTTACAATAGAAGAGTGTCAAATCTAAAACTCATGATTCTGAACCACAATTTTCTATTTATAGCTGCACTTCCTAACAACTTATAACAGCTTTTCTAATTTTTGGAATAACTGCCAAACAACTTCTAAACTAATTCTTCAATCTATTACCACGTGTTGTTATTACAATAAAACCCGTATCAAAGAGAATGTTTTGTCTTCATTGATTCCTTTTGAAAGAGTTGCTATGGGCAATGTTAGGAAACAAATTTTTGCATAGAATGAACAGTGATGAAGATGAGCAAAGACCTAAGAGGAAACAAAAAGACGATTGCCGCTATACTAGTTTGGAGGCAAACATTGAGAATAAGCAAGAAACAGGTGCTGCAAGCAATTTTAGTAAGGAATTGACTTGGAGGCAACTATTGAAACTGGAGAAACATATGCTGTAAGCAAGATTATTATTGATAAAATTTTAGAAAAAAATGTCAGTGATGGCTTAAGAAGAAACAGAAAGACAATTATCATTACATTGACTTGGATAAAACTTTTCAGGATGAGCTTAGTGTAAAATGATTTGCCAAAAGCAAAATTCATATATTTAAACCAAAGAGGCATATATTATTTTTATATGCACTTTGAAATATTTTTAAAATATAAAATTAATTTAAAACTGAACTGCAAATAATTCTGTATGGTATGCCAATCAGGCGATATTGCTTTCCTGTACCATTTCACGTCACGCGCTTCTTTATCACGCGTTTGCTTTGATTGAACTAAAAAGTCTCTCCCAGCATCTCACACGTGTGGGATACTCCATTTACCTTGACATGTTTATTCTCGTTGTCCTTAAGTTTGTTTTGAATTATAAAATAAATAATAATAAGAAATAGGAAACAAAATAATAAATAATTAAATTAGAACAAAAATATTAATCAACAACTAAATAAATAAAATAATAATAATCTGAAATAGAAATGAGCTAAAATTTTATTTTAAAAATTTTTGATCTAATTAATGAATTTTATTAAAATATTTATTGTCATCTTTAATCAAATATTTTCTATAAAAATATATTTTTATTTATTAAATAAAATAATAATAATATTTAAATAAAAAAATTTTAAATGAGTTCTAATAGAAGTCTGACCATGGACAGGACAGGACAGGGATGAGAAATTTTTTGAGAAAGAGACATTTTAGAGAGAGGAAAGAGATGAGAGAGAAACATGGAGTCTAAGACAGCTGGGTTGATGGATTTGGATTCTCATTAAAAAAAAGAAAAGCTCCATTTCTGAGGTTTTATTTTATTTTTTGTTCAGATCATCGACAGAGAAAGTGAGGAGAGAAAAAAAAAAGTTATATATATATATATATATATATATGTATATATATATATATATAGACACATATAATTAATGTTGTAATTTATTTTATTCCGTATAAATAAATGCAGAGAGATTGATGAATGAGATCGTGTGTGTGTGTAATTTGCATGCTCAATCATCTCATCTCATCTCATCTCTTCTAATCAGGCCTCTTCTCTCAACCCTTCATTCTGAATCCCCATTTGCTGGGTCGTCACAGATACTCTCAACTCTCACAAATTCAAACGCACAGATTTCTCCCTCTCCAAACGACATCGTATCACTCATCGGAATTTGCCTCGCGCAAGGTAAGCCCCACCAATGCCACCGTCGTCGTTTCCATGTTTATTTTTCCTCACCTAGGTTTTTCCTTATTTGATTTTTCTATTTTTTCTTTTTTTCTTTAATCGATTTTCGTCTCTCCTTTTTATAACTGTTTTCGTTGTGTTCAGATGAATTTCATTGGAAGAGTTTGGTAAATTGTTCGTTCTGATAGTGAGAGCCATAATTCACTGTGTGGTTGGGTTAGGGTTCGATTTTCCCAGTGGAAGGGTTTTGGGATTTTAGAGAAAGGGGTGGTGGTGGTGTGTAGAACCAATTATCGCACTTCAATTAGCATTTGCGAAAATGCAATTGCTGCTACCTTCTGGGTTGAGAAAATTATTTCATGGAGTATTACTAGCTTAGTGTTTTTTTAATTTTTAATTTTTATTTTTTAAATTGGGCAATATTTGTTAATGTGGTTTGTGGATGTATTATCTGCATGACATCAGTATCGAGGAGTTTTAAGATTCTAGGACCTCAGGTATGAATCATCATAATATTCACGATAACATACTGAGAAAACAGGGTAATTCAGAGTCTGTTCCTTTTCTTCTTTTATTGCTATTCATATACTATTTAAGATTATTGTCTAATAAACAGGATGGGTGGGAAGATAAAAATGCGATCAACATTGTCCCTGTTACGTTGCATATGATAATTGTTTCAACATTTATAGTGTAAAGATCATAGGTTTAGAAGATTGGAGGCACTGTCATCTTTGAACAGAATTGTAGGCATTTATGAATGTGAATGTATCATGTACGCATTGGTTTTAGTATATATTTTTGGTTCATTTGTTTTGTTATTTCATATTTTCCTAAAGGAGAAATGGCTGATTGATACAAAATTTTGTAGTGGCAAAACTATTTTTCTGGATTTAGTTATAGGTTTCATCTTTCTTTCTGTTCTTAGAAGAATTGTATAGGCAAACAGTATTGTTTTTGAGAATCAGGATTCTTCCTTAAGCAGACATTCGAGGAAAAAAAATGAAAGTCATTGGCTCAAGTGAGTGCTCCATTCTCTGCTTGTATGGCGATGAAGTCTCCTAAATAATTTATCAATCCACTGGCCTGTACAATAATAACTTTTTATAAAAGCAGTGTGGGTAAAAGACTGGCTATAAGTTATATGGCGTATACTCAAATACACTCCTTTTATGGACCCAAAATTTCGAACATGCTCCTTAGAGAAAATGTTACAGCCTAACACATATCCAAGTAAATCCCTGGCATGCCTACACGTTATAGAAAAAAATGACCAGTAGCCACTGAACTTCAAAAATTTCACAAATAGGATAAGATAAATCATTAATTCCTGATGCAACTTTTGTCCTTGTGAATTGTTGTAAATCATTCATGCTAGTCCTAAAAAATTTCATCTTTATTTTAACTTATGTTTTGTTTTAATTAGGTACTACCTGAATCTAAAAATAGTTGGTCAAGCATTCTACGGTTCAGACGGAATACTGATATGAGACTTGAATCGGGGACTTGTAATGTGTGCTCAGCTCCTTGTTCATCTTGCATGCATCTTAACCATGGTCTCATGGGCTCAAAGGCTGAAGAGTTTTCCGATGAAAACTGTCGCTTAGGAGAAGCTAATAATCAGTATTCTATGGATGAGGGTAATGGTTATTCTCTGAGGAGCAGAGCTTGTGAAAGCTCACAGCATGCTGTCAGTGAAGCCAGTAATATGCGGAGTGTTAATTCAAGTCATGATTCTCTATCTGAAAATGCTGAGAGCAGACAAATACTGTCGAGTAAGTATCAGGATTCCAAGTATTTAGAAGGTCATGATGACAACACTTCTTGTATTAGTAGAGCCAGTGATACTAATTTAGTGAATGATAGCCATCAAAGGAATGCGGATAGAATAAATAAATCCTGTAGTTCAGCTTCAGTTAGTCAAATAGGGGCAGAAGGATCTGGAAGTGCTCCATCAGTAGACACTAGCCATAGTTCACCTAATGTACAAAAGTTATGTGAGCAATCTTGTTGTGGTAAATCTCTCTCTGGTAATCCAAACTTAATGCATGTGGGAAGGGATTTGTGTTCTCATATCCCAGAAAAGTTGTCAGAATGTTCTATTGAGAATTCTAGTTCGTCATTGACCAAAGAGAGGGAGCCTATTGTTCTGGCTGGTGAGAAAATTATTGTGGAGAAGGATGGCCTTAATGAGAGTACTTCTGAGATTTTACTAAAAGTATGTCCAAAGTCAGAAGCAGATAGTGATGCCTGTGATGCGAACGATGAAGGTCCTAAGTGTTCAGTCCTTGATGAACAGCATAAGAAAGATGAAGAACTGGTGAAATCACATGGTGAGCAGGAACCTCAATCTGAAGATGAGAGTGATGAATCAGATGTTGTGGAACATGATGTAAGTATCTTTCCTTTTCTACCTGTTAGTGTTTTTTTAATCCTTAACTTGATCTAGATGAAAGGGGAGGAGTTGAATGTAATTCAGTCTATAGACAGGCTTAACCGCAACTTCCTTTTCTGATTTCATTGACTGGAAAATAGGTAAAAGTGTGTGACATCTGTGGAGATGCTGGTCGTGAGGATCTACTTGCCATATGTAGTAGGTGCAGTGATGGCGCAGAGCACACGTATGCACAATAAAATTTCTCCTTGCTTCTTACTTTCTATTATATAATTTATATTGCTACAAATTCCTTTCTCTGAATTGAACCTTAACATTATTATTTATTTGAATCAGCTACTGCATGCGAGAAATGCTTCAGAAAGTCCCTGAAGGGGATTGGTTGTGTGAAGAATGCAAAGATGCAGAAGAGAATGAAAATAAAAAACTGGGTAAGAGTGAAGTTATATGAAGATTATGGATAGTCATTCTGGGCCAGACACTTTACACCCTTTGTGCTTTCTGCAAACTGAATTTGCTTGTTCTATAGTTAGGGGTAGCATAAACATTCAAGCTCCCATATCTATGCCTGTATGCTGACATTTGTGGAATTGAATTTTGTGATTCAGATATTGAAGAAAAGAAAATTGTTGAAGTTAGTTCAACCTCACAAGTTTCTGGCAAGAGAGTTTCTGATAACATTGAAGTAGCTCCAGTAGCAAAAAGGCAAGGTCTTGAATCAAGCACAGGATCACCAAAGATTTCGAGCCCGAAGATATCAGTTCCACCATCACGAGAATCTTCATTTAAGATCTTAGATAAATTTAAAGTGAAGCCTGGTCTTCAGATGCCAATTCGTAACCACTCTGGTGGTAATGATACAGAGAGTGCTCGTTCTCCTTCCATTGGCCCCCGCAGTCAAATTTCAAAGAGTATGGATTTATCTTTTGTCTGTTGTGCTTCACTGCAACTTTCTATGTTTATTTTCTTTTGGGTTTTAATGTCTTTTAACCAACTGGTATCCATAATAATTTTGTATCATGTCTCCTTGGGTTTCATTTATTTCAACACAATTTTTGCTTTTATGAGCAGGTATGTTGCTGAAGTCTAATTCATTCAACAACCTAGATTCCAAGCCAAGGGTCAAACTTGTTGATGAAGATGTTCCCCAAAAATCAAAAGGGAGTAAGGAACATACTTCAAAAAATGTGGAGACACCTGCTCAGATGACAAGCAAATCAACATTATTCAAATCCTCTAGTTTGGGCCGATCAACTGCAGAGGAATCAAAAGTTAAAATGCTTTCACCCAAGTCTGTAACTACTAAGGATTTTAAAATATCTAGACATTTAAAAGAATCAGGTGCATTTGACATGAAATATCTGTCTCGGATTGATCGTCCTGTGGCTACTTCTGTTGCTTCTACTGCTAAGGGTGATCAAAAGCTTACACCTTGTGGTGAAACCTCTAAACCTTCAGCAGTTAATAACAGTCGAGAGTTGAAGGTTAACCAGGATGGAAAATTCAGTGCATTATCAAAGTCTATAAGAAATATAGGCCGCAAAAGTTCGGAGCCTGAAGTTAGTTCAGGTGTGGTTTCAATCAGAATCATATCGTTCCTGCTATAGTATTTTTCTTTTTACCTTCTTTTTTAGGGGTTGATTTGTTTCTCTTGATATTTTAGTTAAGGTTTCACAGAGCCATAATCAACGTTATTTGCCCTTTTTAAGTTTCAGTTAGGACATCTTTCAGTAGTAGATTTTGTATTCCAAACTATGTTTTCTGCAAATATTATTTATTATTCCATTTTTCTTTGAATTTTACAGAGAGAACATCAACCCGTATTGATGAAGCTCTACAGGATGTGTTGCCTCGATCACGAGAGACAACAAATCAGGTTGAGAAAACCAGAGATATTTCCAGTGATCGTGTAAGCCTAGTAGTTTCTGCTTCTTCAAAAAATCCATTCTGTCCAAACTGTAAGGAATTTGGCCATCCTTTGGAATGTTGCATGGCTGGTACTGCCCAGGAATCTGGTGCTGAAATATCTGTCACTACCTCAAATAGTTCAAAAGTGGAGATGCATAAAGGCAATAAGTTGAAAGATGCAATCCAGGCTGCTTTACTTAGAAGGCCTGAAATTTGCAAGAAGAAAGAAGTATCTAATCAAACTGACGAAGTTTCTGCATTGGGCACAGAGTTGAATTGTGAAGTGACTTCAAATGTCCAAGTGTTGGTTTCCAGCACACCAAAGAACGGTATATCTGCTGATGAAACCCACGAACAACAGGAAATCCTTGAGAATTATTCATTGGATTCTTTGAAATGTTCATCTGCCAACAATTTGAAGCAACAAAACTATTGTCCAACTGACTTTCGTTCCCATCCAGGAAAGTCAGATGCCATTGGTCTTACTGCTGGAAAGCTTGTTGTGAGAGACTTGTCTAATAAAGCCATTACGATCTCAACTGTTCCTCTGAAGATGTTGGCCTTTCCTGATTATGAATACATCTGGCAGTATGAAACATCTTTTGATGAACTAGTTTGTCTTTTGTTCTGGATTTCTCTTGCTGTATAAATTGTCATGTTTTGCAATCAAGTTTGTTCTACTCAAGCTTTGTTGTTTGCATGCAGGGGTGTCTTTGAAGTTCATAGAAATGGAAAGCCTCCTGACTTATGTACAGGTGTTCAGGCACATTTATCCTCTTGTGCTTCTCCCAAGGTTCGTGAGGTAGTGAGCAGTTTTCTACCCCAAGTTCCCCTCAATGAAGTTTCTCGCTTAAGCACGTGGCCTTCTCAATTTCATCATGGCGGTGCTAGAGAAGATAATATTGCACTTTACTTCTTTGCCCAGGATATTGAAAGGTAAGTGCATGTTTTTTATTCTTATATTGACAGTAGACCATGAACTGCAAATATTTTTGTTTTCTTTGTTGTTATTATTGACCGTTTTTTATGATGTTCTGATACAGTTATGAGAGACACTACAAGGGTCTATTGGATCACATGATTAGAAATGATTTAGCACTTAAAGGAATATTTGATGGTGTTGAACTTCTCATATTCCCGTCCAATCTGCTTCCTGAAAACTCACAATGTAAGGAATTCTTCCATGCTTTTGCTTTTGCCAGAGAATCCAACATTGTAAGCAACTTGTGAATGGATGCTTATGGCTTGTTTTGAAGTTTATCCCTCGGTTAGTGTTAATGGACTGCTGAAATTCAGTTCATATGCAATTTTAAAATGTCTTGGTGAAAGATGATTTTGAGAAATCTCTATTACAAAGAGGAGCATTCTTTTATTCCAGAGTGCACCATTTTTTTTTTTTTTGAATTTAAATGTTTACTTAGGCATACACCTGAGCGGTGATACCCATTTATTTTGATTTAGGTTTCTAATTTTATATATTGTCTTACATGATGTTAGAATTCTAAGTAAGTTTTGAATCGATGAAATACATTAAGGTTGCAAAAAGTGAGTTTTTTTGGACCAAGTCAAAAGCAGTAATTTAACCATGCATTTAGTAGATGTGTTGTTTGGATATAAAATCATTCTCTAGCCTTCACATAATAACATAATTTTTTGGGAGAGTTGGTCTTTAATTGGTATAAAGTCCTTCCATCGTGTCTCTTTGTTGTAAATGTAAAGCAGAGGTGGTGATGACTCTGGCATTGCTGTTTTCCTGCAATGACTTGTCAACGGACTAGTGCATGTGCACATTCAGCTGAGTTGTCACACCACAATGGGTAGCTTTTGTGGTGCTGTTCTCCCAATGTATGTATCAATTGGAGAATCAAAGCCTTCATAATCAAGGGGTCATGAATTCAATTTTGTCATTCTTCTGATAAAAAAATGAATTTTAGCACAAGATAGGTGTGCCTGTGCATTGTCCTTGCTTTAAGCTCAAAGGGGTCCTGTGCATTGGCCATGCTAGATTTAAAAGCATTTAGGATCCTTCACCTAACTGCTTCAGCACTTGGAGGAGAGTTGGTCTTTGGTAGTTGGGTATGTTGAGCTTGAAGCTTATGTGATCTGAAATTTTTAAATGCATAACTACCTAACCACTACTTTAAAAAAAAATGTTTAATTCACTTTTTAACGCATATGTTTAGACTGCTAATAAACCTCTTTTTTGGCAGGCTGGAATATGTTGTTTTACTTATGGGGCATATTTAGAGGGAGGAGGATTATTCATTCAGATTCTGCAAAAAAGACTTGTATTCCCAGTTTGAGTGCGCTACCAGTTGAGGTGAATTCTTCAGCTGTTGTGACTTCGCCTGAAACCCTTTGTTCACCAAAATGTATGCATGAAGAATCAATTGATTGTGATAAAGCGTGCAATGCAGTTCTCCCATCCACATCCATAGACCAACATCAGATTGCTGCAAGTAGGAATATTGATGTCAATCACCAGACACATCTGCATTCACAAGAAAACTTAGGGAAGCTAGATGGTAGTATTGACTCGAAATCTACATCAAGGGTTCCAAGAAACAGTTCTCTGTTATGTCAAGAAATGAAATCCGCTGGTTCATCCCTGGTAAAGTTTTTATCCTCAAATGCATAAAATTTGGTAGACTAAAATGTTTGTTTTTGTCATAAAATCTTCTTGTATGCATTTATGTTGTCAACATGGTGATCTGATCATGGACTCTCATACTACTAAAGTTTAAAATGCTATTTTGTTACCCAAGATAGATCATGGAGATTGCTTTTAACAATTTTTGCTCAACATTGACGGTCTTACAATGAGATTTCTGTACTGCTTAATTACAAGGTGTGCAACAATGATGCAACTTTGCAGTTTTTTATGTCACAATATTACCATGTTAGCAATTCTTGATATTTTTATTAAAGGGAAGGTAAAAACGTTGTTTAATACTTAAATATAGTAACGTAATGCTGATATTACACCCCATTCTGTGAAGAGAGAAACCTATTAATTGAAAGCCTGTATGTGAGGATGAAATCCCTTGTATGTCTAACTTCTAGTTGCTTGTAAGTTATCCTGTGAACTGCAGAGATCACTCTTTAGAAACCCCTTTTATGAAGAGTATGAGTTATCTTGGATGCTGATTATCTCATTTTGTTGATACTGATAGATGATATTCTTTTATGCAGAAAGCTGGTGAACTTGAACATGGAAAATATAGAGTATCTAAACCTTCTGATGCAATGGGAACAAGTGTAAGGAGTAGGATTGTGGAAGCAAAAACTGATTCTGATATTACTGGCAAGCAAGAGAATGGTTTGTATTCATTGATTCCTTTTGAAAAAGTTGCTGCGAGCATTGATAGGAAAGAAATTTTTTTGCATGGAATAAAGGGTGATGAAGATGAGCAAAGCTCTAAGAGGAAACAAAAGGAGGATTTTCACAATGTTGATTTGGAGGCAAACATTGACAATAATCAAGAAACAGATGCTGCAAGCAATTTTAGAAAGGATAGGGGTTCAAAATCAATGATTAGCAACGTTGAAGATCAACAAAGGCCCAAGAGGAAACAGAAAGATGAACGCTATATTGACTTGGAGGCAAATATTGAAAATCAAGAAACATGTGGAGCAACCTATATTAGTATGGATAAAAGTTCAGAAAAAATTGACAGTGATGAAGACCAGCGACTGCTTAAGAGGAAACAAAAAGACAATGATCATCACTACATTAACTTGGAGGCAGCTTTTCAGGATGAGCTGTGTGAAGGGAACTGTCAACTACCTAATGATAGAGAAGTTCAGAATGTAGATTTTTCTGACACAATTATGGGGCCTTCAGTAGTCAGTTGTCAGAAAATGCCTTGGAATGAGGGAAATGGAAAGTTAGAAGATGGAGAAAGTTCTAGTAAGAAGCTAAAGACAGGTTTCAGTAGGATTTATGAATCTTGCAGTTCTAGAGGTGGAAGCTCCTTTAGTGACAGTTTTACATCTCTTAGAAATGACCTTGGTTCTTCATCTTCAGTCAAGGACAAAGGATGTGAAGAAGCTTGTGATGAGAAAATCATTCATGAAGACTTGGGAACAATGGAAAGAACCTTCTTTCCCGTTGATACACACAATATTAGTGACGCCCAATCGGTGCTGAATAGCATGTCAATGAAAGGCCTTCGTGAGTCTGAGGAACAATTTCAAGATGTGATTCCCAATCTAGAACTTGCTTTAGGGGGCAAAACAAAACCACTGCTGGCGACACCACCACCTGCTCCTAAGGGTATGCTGCCTTTCTTAGTTGGGGCAGTAGACAGGAAAAATAACCATCCAAATGGCTTAGGAGATGGGCAGGAGGATGATGCTGTTGCTGCATCTCTTTCACTTTCTCTATCCTTTCCATCTTCAAACAAGGAACACAAAAAAGCTGCTTCAAAAGCTGAGCTTTTACCTGAGGGACACCCCGTGAACACCTCGTTGCTCCTTTTTGGAAGATTCCCTGACAAATAAATTTGCTCGATGCTTTATGTTTCCAATCTTGTAAATTATGTTGTTCTGGATTGTCCAATGTCCATCCTGTATGATAGATAAGCTTCCAGTCCCTATACAAAGGAGCCATTGTCCCCAACAAGAGTCAATTTTTTTAGTCCTTTTAGAACTTTGTTATATACATGTTTTACGTTAGCTTTTTTGTTTTCAGAATGCAGAGTTCCGGCTGTTTGTATATAGAGAGAATTTAAGCCGGTATAATTTCAAAAATGTTACTATGAACTTGCGGATGACTATTTTTATGGCAGGCTTTCCTCTGTTCCTAACCCCATTGTCTGTTGTTTTTTCGATCTTTGTACTTGGTATACAGTTCTACCAGCTATCATATACATGGGAGGAAACAAGATATGAAACAATAATATAGGTGAGAATATTGAAATAATATTTATGAAAAAGATAATTAAAAATCACTGAAGATAGTTTATTTACATGTAGAAATTTTTTTTGAAAGTATAGAATAGATGACATGAGTTTTAGTCTCAAAATCTTGTTTTATAAAAAAAGACAGAAATATATAAAATAACTTTAAAGGAAGAAATTAAAAGAAACCTTATTATTAATAATATTTCTAAAAATTTTGATATTTGGATGTTCTTTTTATGATTATGAAATGCAATTGCTTTATCGTAACATGTTTTGGATGATCTATGGCATATTTTTGGTGGACTAAAATTGACTATTAAATGTTTAGGCTTGATTTAAAAGTAAAAATATATAAATTTTAAGATATTTATTTAAATGAATTGTATTTAAAATTTAGGTTTGTTTTGTTATTTTAAAATTAATTTAATATAATATTTAATAGATATATTTTCTAACAAGTCAAGACAAAAGAAAGAATAATATAATAAAAGTATATTTGAATATAGAATTATATCCTAATTTTAAAAATAAAAATAGTTTAATTGTATATTTGTTAATTAAATTAACATTTATAAAATTATATATATACAAGTAAGAGTTATTCATCAGCTTTAAATGTTAAGTTTATAAAAGTGTTGATTTGCCTTATTTATATAATCAAAGTTGAAATTAAAATTAAACTTGTTTGTTTATTGTAAACATATTTCATTGAGTATTTAACCCGTTAAATTTAAATTAATTACAAATAATTTAATTTATTTACAAATAATTTAATCTAACTGGAACAAAATTGAAATAAAAATATATTTGTTAAAAATTTAAAAATATATTTGTTTTCATATTTTAAATATATTTTAACATTGTTCTTGATAAAATTTTATTATTTATCAATTCTTTAACCAATGCTTTTGACAAAAGTCATTAAAAAGAATTAAAACAAAACGTTTTCTGAGATTAAAGGGTACCTCAAATTTAAATATAGTTTTAGATGCATATCTTCGAATGAAAATTCATTTGAGAGGATGAATTCTTTTTGTCATTTAAACTAACGAGATTGCAGATAAATAAACATAAATTGTGGCGATGAGCAATGATTATTTTATACAGAAAGAATTTCTCGTAATCTCCTACATCTTCATCATTCTCTCTCCATTTCTTCACTCTCACTTTCAGTTTCTCTCATGGCAACTTGTTTCGCCCCGTTATCGATTTCAGGTGAAATTTTGCGTCTTTTTATCAACCCTTTTGTTCTTAATAATAAAGAATTTTAAACAACATGGCGTACAAAAAAAATTGTATCCATTGATCTCAGTCGTTACTCCATTGATTTTTAGGGTTTTTCTTTTCTATACAAATTCAATGTTCAAATAAATCTTGGAATTCTTTTTTTTTTTTCTTGGCAGTTGGTGGATCTTATGTGAAGTCACCTGAGCTGTGGTTAACAAAGCGTAATTCATGTGGGGTTGGACCTAAGCTCACTGTTCAAAGGAGATCAAACCTTGTGAGCAGAAGCAATCGCACTTCATCAATTTGTGCAGAATACCGGTATGTTATTTTTGCATCACTTTTATTTAGGCTTATTAGAAATTCAAGAAAATAATTTCTTGTTAATATTTCATGTTTTAAAATAAATTAAACCATTATAACCTTACCCAGAATCCCTATCATACCAGATGACTCTTTCTTCATTTTCATATGAGTTAAAAGATTAAATCTGCTTTGGGAATATTTTATAAATCTTTAAAATTAAAATTTCAGAATGAGTCATTGATGCTAAATAAATCAAAGAATAATCTTCCAGACCAGTTTTTAAGATAAAATTTGTCAATAAAAGACCTGAAGTGAATAAAGAATGGTGATGTTCAGAGTTTCTTTCTACCGTCCATTCACATGTATATTATATTATTAATTTTGGAACAATAACTGCTCTCTCTTTAATGAATTAAAAGAAAATAAGATTTTAACCACTGTTTCAGTTCGTGATTTTGAGAATATTTTGGGTCCTAGGAAGTAATGGAAGGAATTTTTTATTTGTTGCCTGTTTCGGAAGATTATGCAAATATTTGTTGTGGATGTATTATCTGCATGACATCAGTATCGAGGAGTTTGATTCACGAGAATATGCTGAAATAACAGGGTATTTCATAGTCTGTTCCTTTTCTTCTTTTATTGCTATCCATTTACTATTTAACATCATTGTATATTAAACAGGATGGATGGGAAGATAAATGTGATCAACATTATTTCTGACAAGTTGCCGTATGATCATTTTTCTTAACATTTATAGGGTAAAGATCATAGGATTAGAAGATTGGAGGCACTGTCATATTTGAACAGAATTGTAGGCATATATGAATATGAATGTATCATGTATGTGCACTGGTTTTAGTATATATTGTTGATTCATTTGTTTTGTTATTTCATATTGTCCTAAATGAGAAATGGCTGATCGATGCAAAATTCTGTAGTGCCAAAACTATATTTCTGCATTTACTTCTAGGCTTCATCTTTCTTTCTGCTTAAAGTAGAATTGAATAATCGAAAAGTATATGTTTTCTGCTAGGGTTTCGTGGTGTCTATGATATAATTTGGAACTTGTTTGAAATTGTCATTGCTATTTGATCGTTCATTTTTGTGAATATGATAATCAAGCATGTTGGGTTAGAAACGAAGTGAAGTTAAAGTATAAACTAAATTAAAAGAAGAGATATTAATAAACTTATTCAATGAAGCGACTGGAACTTCTGGCTTTATTGATACTGTTTGCTTTATCTAAGCCTGTAAGACTTTTTTCTTAGGCTGTTATCTAAGTTGTGATTCTTTCTCTCTCTTTTTTCATATCAGATAAGGGCGTTGGGCTTTATAACAGAGGAATCAGATTGAATATTTAGATTGCTCGTATATAATTGTTTATGGGGTTGTATGAGATTTGGCTTGGATGTAATCCTTATCATTGACTGGTTTTCTCTGATTTGGTTCTCTTGTTGGGTCTGCCCAAAGTTGTGCGGTGATACTTTCTTTGAATCTCAAACAAACTAAATGTCTTCAATAAAGTGTCAGTGCTCTTGGCTGCTTTCCAATTCTTCACCAGTAATGGCAGCTAATGACAAGATCAATGATGCGAGACATACTAATTTTGCTCAAATACCTTCATGGATCTCTTTGAAACACAGTCATTCTTCGTTGAGGACCCATCAAAATAAACAAGGCCAAGTTGAAAACTTGCATTTGATTTCTTTAGCTAAACAAGGGAAGCTTAGAGAAGTGCATGACTTCATCAAAACCATGGACGAAGCAGGTATTTCCATTAATCCCCGATCATACGAATACCTCTTCAAAATGTGTGGAATGTTGGGGGCGCTGTCTGATGGAAAATTATTTCATAATAGACTGCAAAGAAGGGCTGACGGAAATAAATTCATTGACAATTGTATTCTTCAAATGTATTGTGACTGTAAGAGTTTCTTAACTGCAGAGAAATTCTTTGATGAAATGGTTAACCGGGATTTGTTCTCTTGGGCCACCATTATATCTGCTTACACTGAGGAATGGCGTATAGATGAAGCTGTTAGATTGCTCGTACGTATGCTGGATTTGGGTATCTCACCAAACACCTCTATCTTCAGTACTCTTATGGCGTCTTTTGCAAATCCTTCAATGTTAGATTTCGGCAAACAGATACATTCTCAGTTGATAAGGATTGGGTTTACTGCCAATGTTTCTACTCAGACATTAATCTCCAACATGTATGTCAAGTGCGGGTGGTTGGATGGTGCTGAAGTTGCCACCAATAAGATGACTAGGAAAAATGTTGTGGCTTGCACTGGGTTGATGGTGGGCTATAATCAAGCTGCAAGGCATAGGGATGCTCTGTTATTATTTGCCAAGATGTTAATTGAAGGTGTAGAGTTGGATGAATTTGTCTTCTCAGTTGTGCTCAAGGCATGTGCCGCATTAGGAGACTTGTACACTGGAAGGCAAATTCATAGTTACTGTCTAAAACTTGGCATGGAATCTGAGGTCTCAGTTGGTACTCCCCTAGTAGACTTCTATGTTAAGTGTGCAATGTTTGAAGCTTCACGTCAGGCTTTTAAGAGTATACGTGAACCAAATGATTTTTCGTGGAGTGCTTTAATTGCCGGATATTGCCAAAGTGGTCGATTTGATAGAGCTCTTGAGGTTTTTAAGACAATAAGAAGTAAAGGGGTGTTATTGAATTCATTCATCTACACCAACATTTTTCAAGCATGCTCTGCTGTCTCAGATTTAAATTACGGTGCTCAAATTCATGCAGATGCAATAAAAAAGGGGCTAGTTGCATACCTCTCTGGGGAGAGTGCTATGATCACTATGTACTCAAAATGTGGCAAAATGGACTATGCACAGCAAGCATTTTTTATTATAGATAAACCTGATACTGTTGCATGGACTGCAATAATATGTGCCCATGCTTACCATGGCAAAGCTTATGAAGCTTTGAGGCTTTTTAAAGAGATGCAGGCGTCTGGTGTAAGGCCAAATGCTGTCACATTCATAGGTTTGTTAACTGCTTGTAGTCACTCAGGTTTAGTTAAAGAGGGAAAGCAGTTTTTGGATTCAATGAATGACAAATATGGTGTGAACCCATCAATTGATCATTACAATTGCATGATTGATATATACTCTCGTGCTGGATTATTACAGGAGGCTCTTGAGGTGATAAGGAGTCTGCCATTTGAACCTGATGTAATGAGTTGGAAAAGTTTACTTGGAGGATGTTGGAGCCATCGGAATCTTGAGGTTGGGATGATTGCAGCTGATAAGATCTTTCACCTGGATCCACTAGACTCTGCTACTTATGTAATCATGTTCAACCTATATGCTTGGGCTGGGAATTGGGATGAAGCAGGGAAATTTAGAAAGATGATGGCTGAAAGGAACTTGAGGAAGGAAGTCAGTTGCAGTTGGATTATTGTGAAGGGTAAAGTCCATCGTTTTGTGGTAGGTGACAGACACCACCCTCAAACAGAACAGATATACTCAAAATTAAACGAACTTGATTTTGCTTTCAAAAAGGGTGAGGAAAACCTTCTCAATGTAGATGATGCGCTATGTGACTTTACCGAACGGAAAGAGCAGCTTCTTGATCATAGTGAGAGACTAGCTATAGCTTATGGTCTCATATGTACCACAACTGTGACCCCCATTATGGTATTCAAAAATACTCGATCATGCAAAGACTGTCATGATTTTGCAAAAAGAGTCTCGACAGTAACTGGTCGTGAATTAATTGTGAGAGATGCCAATAGGTTCCATCATATTAATTCAGGGCAATGTTCTTGCCGTGATTACTGGTGATTTTTGCTGAGTTCTTCTCTAGGTCTAAGTTGCTTGGTTTTTCTTAATGCTGCATCAGTTACAGAGTTGAATCATCATACAATTGGATATGCAGAGCTCTCGTTGGATTACTGTAGATGAGTATCATAAGCCAACTTCTGGTGCAGCTATCCTTGTCATTGCTATAAATCTAGCGTATTCTTTCTTACACTTTAGACAAAGTGATACTCAGGATTTAAGTCTCCATAGTTGTTTATGCCTAATTGTTGAGTAATGGGCACTCCTCCATGGAGGTTCCATATACAAATCATGTGATAGTCAGATGGTTCAGACCTCAGCAGATTGTACTGTTAGGATCAAGCAACTTCCATTGCACCAAATGCTACAGGGACTTTACCTATGGTAGTTGCCACAGGGAGGGATGTTAAGTCTTCAAATCCTAGGCAATCAAGCACCTTCCACTGCACCAAGAGGTATGTTAGTCTGTGTGTGCTTTATTTTCTTATAGCCTTTTGGAAGTGCATCAAAAATTGATGGCTGGATCCATCCAAAGGACTAGGAGAGGAATGTTAAGCCCAATAATTCTAGAAGGGAGAGGTATTAAAGCCTGGAGTACCTACCATATTAGGAATAAGAAAGAAATGAAAAGGGCAAAAAAGACATAATCATCATCACCTTCATGTACAATTGATTAGGCATTATATTTTACAAATAGTTGAAATGTCTGCTATTCTGTTGCTCTTGTGTCCTTGCCGACTATCAGACTTGTTACAATTGTCATTTTTTTTGTTCAGTTAATTAAAAATCGAGAGTGATACAAAGGATACCACTAGATCAACCTTTCACATGCAATTCTTATCTTACATTCGGCTATCAAGAATGTTTTGCAGTTAAAAGAAGCTATCTATGATTGTTCTTGCACACACATATAAAGACGACTTATATAATAATGTTTGATACTAAAAGCTTGCAAAAATGTTGTATGATTAAATTGGTATATTTTATTTTTTTTACCAGAAGGATATCCAGAGGTTTATGGGTTTGGGGCTTGCTTTGAAGTGTTTGCTTTGATTAGTTTTAATGAACTGCTGAAATTCAGTTCATATGCAGTTTTAAAATGTCTTGGTGAAAGATGATTTCAGAAATCTCTATTACAAAGAGGAGCATTCTTTTATTCCAGAGTACACAATTTTTTTTTCTCTAATTTAAATAGCTACTTAGGCATACATGTGAATGGTGGTCCCCGTTTATTTTGATTCAGGTTTTTAAGTTTATATATTGCCTTAAATGATATTAGAATTTTGAGTAAGTTTTGTATCGATGAAATGCATTAAGGTTGCAAAAAGTGACTGTGTTTTATATTGAATTTGGACCAAGTCAAAATCAGTAATTTAGCCATGCATTTAGTAGAAGGTCATGATGACAACACTTCTTGTATTAGTAGAGCCAGTGATACTAATTTAGTGAATGATAGCCATCAAAGGAACGCGGAGAGAATAAATAAATCCTGTAGTTCAGCTTCAGTTAGTCAAATAGGGGCAGAAGGATCTGGAAGTGCTCCATCAGTAGACACTAGCCATAGTTCACCTAATGTACAATGGTTATGTGAGCAATCTCGTAGTGGTAACTCTCTCTCTAGTAATCCAAACTTAATGAATGTGGGAAGGGATTTGTGTTCTCATATCCCAGAAAAGTTGTCAGAATGTTCTACTGAGAATTCTAGTTCGTCATTGACCAAAGAGAGGGAGCCTATTGTTCTGGCTGGTGAGAAAATTATTGTGGAGAAGGATGGCCTTAATGAGAGTACTTCTGAGATTTCACTAAAAGTATGTCCAAATTCAGAAGCAGATAGTGATGCCTGTGATGCGAATGATGAAGGTCCTAAGTGTTCAGTCCTTGATGAACAGCATAAGAAAGATGAAGAACTGGTGAAATCACATGGTGAGCAGGAACTTCAATCTGAAGATGAGAGTGATGATACCCATTTAAATGTTTACTTAGGCATACACCTGAGCGGTGATACCCATTTATTTTGATTTAGGTTTTTAATTTTATATATTGTCTTACATGATGTTAGAATTCTGAGTAAGTTTTGTATCGATGAAATACATTAAAGTTGCAAAAGGTGGGTTTTTTTGGACCAAGTCAAAAGCAGTAATTTAACCATGCATTTAGTAGATGTGTTGTTTGGATATAAAATCATTCTCTAGCCTTCACATAATAACATAATTTTTTGGGAGAGTTGGTCTTTAATTGGTATAAAGTCCTTCCATCGTGTCTCTTTGTTGTAAATGTAAAGCAGAGGTGGTGATGACTCTGGCATTGCTGTTTTCCTGCAATGACTTGTCAACGGACTAGTGCATGTGCACATTCAGCTGAGTTGTCACACCACAATGGGTAGCTTTTGTGGTGCTGTTCTCCCAATGTATGTATCAATTGGTGAATCAAAGCCTTCATAATCAAGGGGTCATGAATTCAATTTTGTCATTCTTCTGATAAAAAATTGAATTTTAGCACAAGATAGGTGTGCCTGTGCATTGTCCTTGCTTTAAGCTCAAAGGGGTCCTGTGCATTGGCCATGCTAGATTTAAAAGCATTTAGGATCCTTCACCTAACTGCTTCAGCACTTGGAGGAGAGTTGGTCTTTGGTAGTTGGGTATGTTGAGCTTGAAGCTTATGTGATCTGAAATTTTTAAATGCATAACTACCTAACCACTACTTTAAAAAAAAATGTTTAATTCACTTTTTAACGCATATGTTTAGACTGCTAATAAACCTCTTTTTTGGCAGGCTGGAATATGTTGTTTTACTTATGGGGCATATTTAGAGGGAGGAGGATTATTCATTCAGATTCTGCAAAAAAGACTTGTATTCCCAGTTTGAGTGCGCTACCAGTTGAGGTGAATTCTTCAGCTGTTGTGACTTCGCCTGAAACCCTTTGTTCACCAAAATGTATGCATGAAGAATCAATTGATTGTGATAAAGCGTGCAATGCAGTTCTCCCATCCACATCCATAGACCAACATCAGATTGCTGCAAGTAGGAATATTGATGTCAATCACCAGACACATCTGCATTCACAAGAAAACTTAGGGAAGCTAGATGGTAGTATTGACTCGAAATCTACATCAAGGGTTCCAAGAAACAGTTCTCTGTTATGTCAAGAAATGAAATCCGCTGGTTCATCCCTGGTAAAGTTTTTATCCTCAAATGCATAAAATTTGGTAGACTAAAATGTTTGTTTTTGTCATAAAATCTTCTTGTATGCATTTATGTTGTCAACATGGTGATCTGATCATGGACTCTCATACTACTAAAGTTTAAAATGCTATTTTGTTACCCAAGATAGATCATGGAGATTGCTTTTAACAATTTTTGCTCAACATTGACGGTCTTACAATGAGATTTCTGTACTGCTTAATTACAAGGTGTGCAACAATGATGCAACTTTGCAGTTTTTTATGTCACAATATTACCATGTTAGCAATTCTTGATATTTTTATTAAAGGGAAGGTAAAAACGTTGTTTAATACTTAAATATAGTAACGTAATGCTGATATTACACCCCATTCTGTGAAGAGAGAAACCTATTAATTGAAAGCCTGTATGTGAGGATGAAATCCCTTGTATGTCTAACTTCTAGTTGCTTGTAAGTTATCCTGTGAACTGCAGAGATCACTCTTTAGAAACCCCTTTTATGAAGAGTATGAGTTATCTTGGATGCTGATTATCTCATTTTGTTGATACTGATAGATGATATTCTTTTATGCAGAAAGCTGGTGAACTTGAACATGGAAAATATAGAGTATCTAAACCTTCTGATGCAATGGGAACAAGTGTAAGGAGTAGGATTGTGGAAGCAAAAACTGATTCTGATATTACTGGCAAGCAAGAGAATGGTTTGTATTCATTGATTCCTTTTGAAAAAGTTGCTGCGAGCATTGATAGGAAAGAAATTTTTTTGCATGGAATAAAGGGTGATGAAGATGAGCAAAGCTCTAAGAGGAAACAAAAGGAGGATTTTCACAATGTTGATTTGGAGGCAAACATTGACAATAATCAAGAAACAGATGCTGCAAGCAATTTTAGAAAGGATAGGGGTTCAAAATCAATGATTAGCAACGTTGAAGATCAACAAAGGCCCAAGAGGAAACAGAAAGATGAACGCTATATTGACTTGGAGGCAAATATTGAAAATCAAGAAACATGTGGAGCAACCTATATTAGTATGGATAAAAGTTCAGAAAAAATTGACAGTGATGAAGACCAGCGACTGCTTAAGAGGAAACAAAAAGACAATGATCATCACTACATTAACTTGGAGGCAGCTTTTCAGGATGAGCTGTGTGAAGGGAACTGTCAACTACCTAATGATAGAGAAGTTCAGAATGTAGATTTTTCTGACACAATTATGGGGCCTTCAGTAGTCAGTTGTCAGAAAATGCCTTGGAATGAGGGAAATGGAAAGTTAGAAGATGGAGAAAGTTCTAGTAAGAAGCTAAAGACAGGTTTCAGTAGGATTTATGAATCTTGCAGTTCTAGAGGTGGAAGCTCCTTTAGTGACAGTTTTACATCTCTTAGAAATGACCTTGGTTCTTCATCTTCAGTCAAGGACAAAGGATGTGAAGAAGCTTGTGATGAGAAAATCATTCATGAAGACTTGGGAACAATGGAAAGAACCTTCTTTCCCGTTGATACACACAATATTAGTGACGCCCAATCGGTGCTGAATAGCATGTCAATGAAAGGCCTTCGTGAGTCTGAGGAACAATTTCAAGATGTGATTCCCAATCTAGAACTTGCTTTAGGGGGCAAAACAAAACCACTGCTGGCGACACCACCACCTGCTCCTAAGGGTATGCTGCCTTTCTTAGTTGGGGCAGTAGACAGGAAAAATAACCATCCAAATGGCTTAGGAGATGGGCAGGAGGATGATGCTGTTGCTGCATCTCTTTCACTTTCTCTATCCTTTCCATCTTCAAACAAGGAACACAAAAAAGCTGCTTCAAAAGCTGAGCTTTTACCTGAGGGACACCCCGTGAACACCTCGTTGCTCCTTTTTGGAAGATTCCCTGACAAATAAATTTGCTCGATGCTTTATGTTTCCAATCTTGTAAATTATGTTGTTCTGGATTGTCCAATGTCCATCCTGTATGATAGATAAGCTTCCAGTCCCTATACAAAGGAGCCATTGTCCCCAACAAGAGTCAATTTTTTTAGTCCTTTTAGAACTTTGTTATATACATGTTTTACGTTAGCTTTTTTGTTTTCAGAATGCAGAGTTCCGGCTGTTTGTATATAGAGAGAATTTAAGCCGGTATAATTTCAAAAATGTTACTATGAACTTGCGGATGACTATTTTTATGGCAGGCTTTCCTCTGTTCCTAACCCCATTGTCTGTTGTTTTTTCGATCTTTGTACTTGGTATACAGTTCTACCAGCTATCATATACATGGGAGGAAACAAGATATGAAACAATAATATAGGTGAGAATATTGAAATAATATTTATGAAAAAGATAATTAAAAATCACTGAAGATAGTTTATTTACATGTAGAAATTTTTTTTGAAAGTATAGAATAGATGACATGAGTTTTAGTCTCAAAATCTTGTTTTATAAAAAAAGACAGAAATATATAAAATAACTTTAAAGGAAGAAATTAAAAGAAACCTTATTATTAATAATATTTCTAAAAATTTTGATATTTGGATGTTCTTTTTATGATTATGAAATGCAATTGCTTTATCGTAACATGTTTTGGATGATCTATGGCATATTTTTGGTGGACTAAAATTGACTATTAAATGTTTAGGCTTGATTTAAAAGTAAAAATATATAAATTTTAAGATATTTATTTAAATGAATTGTATTTAAAATTTAGGTTTGTTTTGTTATTTTAAAATTAATTTAATATAATATTTAATAGATATATTTTCTAACAAGTCAAGACAAAAGAAAGAATAATATAATAAAAGTATATTTGAATATAGAATTATATCCTAATTTTAAAAATAAAAATAGTTTAATTGTATATTTGTTAATTAAATTAACATTTATAAAATTATATATATACAAGTAAGAGTTATTCATCAGCTTTAAATGTTAAGTTTATAAAAGTGTTGATTTGCCTTATTTATATAATCAAAGTTGAAATTAAAATTAAACTTGTTTGTTTATTGTAAACATATTTCATTGAGTATTTAACCCGTTAAATTTAAATTAATTACAAATAATTTAATTTATTTACAAATAATTTAATCTAACTGGAACAAAATTGAAATAAAAATATTTTTGTTAAAAATTTAAAAATATATTTGTTTTCATATTTTAAATATATTTTAACATTGTTCTTGATAAAATTTTATTATTTATCAATTCTTTAACCAATGCTTTTGACAAAAGTCATTAAAAAGAATTAAAACAAAACGTTTTCTGAGATTAAAGGGTACCTCAAATTTAAATATAGTTTTAGATGCATATCTTCGAATGAAAATTCATTTGAGAGGATGAATTCTTTTTGTCATTTAAACTAACGAGATTGCAGATAAATAAACATAAATTGTGGCGATGAGCAATGATTATTTTATACAGAAAGAATTTCTCGTAATCTCCTACATCTCCATCATTCTCTCTCCATTTCTTCACTCTCACTTTCAGTTTCTCTCATGGCAACTTGTTTCGCCCCGTTATCGATTTCAGGTGAAATTTTGCGTCTTTTTATCAACCCTTTTGTTCTTAATAATAAAGAATTTTAAACAACATGGCGTACAAAAAAAATTGTATCCATTGATCTCAGTCGTTACTCCATTGATTTTTAGGGTTTTTCTTTTCTATACAAATTCAATGTTCAAATAAATCTTGGAATTCTTTTTTTTTTTTCTTGGCAGTTGGTGGATCTTATGTGAAGTCACCTGAGCTGTGGTTAACAAAGCGTAATTCATGTGGGGTTGGACCTAAGCTCACTGTTCAAAGGAGATCAAACCTTGTGAGCAGAAGCAATCGCACTTCATCAATTTGTGCAGAATACCGGTATGTTATTTTTGCATCACTTTTATTTAGGCTTATTAGAAATTCAAGAAAATAATTTCTTGTTAATATTTCATGTTTTAAAATAAATTAAACCATTATAACCTTACCCAGAATCCCTATCATACCAGATGACTCTTTCTTCATTTTCATATGAGTTAAAAGATTAAATCTGCTTTGGGAATATTTTATAAATCTTTAAAATTAAAATTTCAGAATGAGTCATTGATGCTAAATAAATCAAAGAATAATCTTCCAGACCAGTTTTTAAGATAAAATTTGTCAATAAAAGACCTGAAGTGAATAAAGAATGGTGATGTTCAGAGTTTCTTTCTACCGTCCATTCACATGTATATTATATTATTAATTTTGGAACAATAACTGCTCTCTCTTTAATGAATTAAAAGAAAATAAGATTTTAACCACTGTTTCAGTTCGTGATTTTGAGAATATTTTGGGTCCTAGGAAGTAATGGAAGGAATTTTTTATTTGTTGCCTGTTTCGGAAGATTATGCAAATATTTGTTGTTATTTCTAGGTATGGGCAAAAAATTCAAATTTTTAATAAAACGGATGCCTAGGTCCACTTTAATTTTTTGTCCAGATTTATTTGAAACCCATTTAGTAAAACTGGATTCCAGAATCGTAGCTTCTTCCCTTTTTGTTCAATGCCCCCCTTTGCCCACTGTATTCTTCAATCCAATTACCTCCACCTCACTGGATCCTTCTTCCCTCCACCCAACTCTTCGTTCTCTTGATGGAACAGTCTTCAATTCATCATCAATGAATATGACATTCGCTCCTGTTGTAACCTTCCTTCCTCTTCTATTTCCCAAACCTGCATGAACATCACTACCCTGTCACAGTTCAAAGCCATTGTTCCTGTCTCAGCACTTTGATCCAATGGTAACAATCACCTACTTGTTGTTATTGTCATTTTTTCTCTTTCCTTTTTTGGTCATCATCGTTTTTTCTATATTGGCATTGTTGCTGGTTCTTGGTGCATTGATTGAGGCCCAAGAAATAGAAGAAGGATGTAGGTAGAGGTGAGATGGGTTTGAGTTCGTTGAACCAAAACTGGTTTTAAACCATATCTTAATTTTAAAACCAGTTTTAAAACAATTTAAAAAAAAAAAGATTGGTTGATAATTAAATTCAATTATATGGATTTAAAATGGATTTGAATTGGTTTTGTGTTCATCCAATTCATGCACAGCCCTTTATTTCCATTTACTGTCTCCCTTGTGCAGTGGTAACAGCGGAGGTGGGGGTGGCGATTTTCTTGCTGGCTTTCTTCTGGGTGGTGCAGTTTTTGGAACTATAGCTTATATCTTTGCTCCCCAGGTGATTTCTTCTGACTTCAATTTTATTTTATTAAGTCTAGCAAATTTAACTGGAACAATGTATGATGGAGGACAACCTTGATCATACAATTCAAAAAGAAAGAGAAAGGGAGACAGATTGACCGTGTGATAGATAATTACTTTTGAAAAAAATATTTTCTTATAAACAAGGAGATGCAGTGACAACAGGACTGACTCAACAATTTGATTCATTGTTATTAACTACCTCACTGTTGTTTCATTGATTGGTGGATTATTTGTTTCTTTCACTAATGGTTAAATTTGCTTTTCTAAGGAGAGAAAAAAAATGGTTTTTCTCCTTTATGTGCAATATCAGTGATGATATCAGTCTGCTGTGGTGATGGGTCAGAGTCATGAATGTTTATTTTTATTGAGAAATATGAAAAATGTCTATAAAGTATATTACTAACTTTTCATCTTTACATTTAATCATATCGATATGTCTTGAGAACTGTTAGTGTTCTCTTAACAAAATTTTGAATTTTGTCTTAGCATAAGGAGTCATATTTGCATTATCCATCTTATAGTTGTACTTCTGTTACTTCTATCACTGTTTAATGATATTATTTTTGCCATTTTGATGGATCTTAATATGCTTTTAAGTTTGGATGTTGACTTTATTTTGTCATGCAGATCAGAAGGTCTCTGCTAAATGAAGATGAATATGGGTTTCGCAAGGCCAAAAGACCAATATACTACGACGAAGGGTTGGAGGTAATTAGGTTGCACTTGGCTTAAATTCAACTTTTCTGTGGCATTTGAATATATATACTGAGCTTCTTATGGTTATGTTATGCAATTCCTGAATGCAGAGGACCAGGCAGACCTTGAATGAGAAGATAAGCCAACTAAATTCTGCCATTGATAATGTATCTTCCCGTTTGAGAGGTGGCAACAACGTGCCTGCAGCGCAGATCGAAAATGATCCTGAGGTTGAAGCTACCATGTGAGACCTTTCCAGTTTGATACTGTTATCAACAATGCTTTGAAGTAGTGAAATACAACACAATTGATAAACAGATCTATGTTTTTTGATACTGGACTAATATAATTGGAATGATTTTGTTTTTACCTTAATGGATGATTTTGTTTCTGTGCATGATGCAGCTGGGATTGTGATGAAGCACTATCTCACATTTTTGGTGTAACCTGTGTCTCATTTTGATAACTACGTTGCATGCATAATAGGTGCGATACACAAGAAATTGGAATTTCATTAGATTGAAATTTAAATATCAAATTCATAAACCAACCAGACTGCACAACTCAACTGATGAAAATTAATTCACTGGAAGAACATTATGCTTTCACTATAATTGCTTTGTGATTATCTCTACAATTATTCAAAGCCTAAAAAGCCAAAATTGATAACAGAAAATAAATGAATTAACAAATTAAAAAAGACAGTGACAGATCTTTAATATTATAGATAGATAATAATTAAAGTAAAAGCATAATTATTGGACAAAAGTAAGAATCTCAAAGGCATATTGCATTTTTCATTCTTCAGTATCATTGTGTTTATCAACTTTGACAGGTCACTAAACTTTGACAGGTCACTAAAACTTCTTAATGTCTGTATTTCTTCACCTACATGCCTTTTTCCCCTCCATATTCCATCATATTGGTTGGGACTTGTTTGGGTGTTACCCACACAATAGATGCTTTTTTGTCTTTTTTTGGGCTTTTCCTCGGCCTTTTGGGCCTTTTTTTATTTCTACCAGAGATGACAAAAAAAGTAAAATCATGACTATTGTACCGATTACAACCGGTTAGTTTCTAATTTAATTTTTTCCCAACAAATATTAGTAAGTGACATTCACTTGAAGACATCAAAGTTGGTGGAGGAACATTTTGATATTGGATGCATTTAGATTCGCGGCTTATTCAATAATTTTTTTAAAATAATATCTTATATCTTAAATTTAATGATAAAATTTATTAGAATAAGCTGAAAATAACATTGATAAATTATGATTCAATTTAGATAGATTTTTTTACAAGTACTTATTAGAATAAAAAATTTAAGTAATAATATGAATCAAACTCCTCTTATGAGTTAAAATAAACTTTATACTTCACTATTTTTAAAAAATTGTTCAAATTTTTTATAACTTGAAAAGATAAGTTGTGGGAGAAATTTTATTTATTTTTATATTATTGTTTTGTTTTTATAAAGACTTATTTACAAGCTCATGAATCTAAACCTATATGAAAAAGCTTGTTGAATTAAATTGAAAACACCTTATGAAAATAATAAACTATTTTCATTTTTTTTTTCAAACAAATCAAATATAAATAACATTTTGAAGCCATGCCAATTGCAGTAGGGTTTTCTTGTTTCCCATTACCAGGGGTGAAAGATAATGAGTCAATAGGGATGGGTAGCACATTATGCACGCTAGAAACAGTGCTTAGAGAAAGTATAGAATAGCCTGCCATAACCATCACAGACTTGCAAAGATAAGATTTCAAAGGCGATGGTTTTGAGAAATTCAAAATTGCATTCCATAAGATATGAGGTACGTAGTTGGGTCAATGTCTTAACCAAGGTAAGTGTTCCCTCTTTCTACAACTAAATAGGGATACTCAGTGGCCCCTACTCACATATTCACACCTTTTGCCTTTTGCTATATGACTCCTCCAACCCCATTAACTGAAAGCAACTAAGAGCTTATAGAAAAGTGGAATGTGGTGCTTCTTTTCTTTTGAACACGCTTTTAATAAAGCAAGGATTTTTTTCTTATTTTTATTTTCATAAACGATAAAACTATCACATTTAAGTTAAAATAATTTCTGTCATACATATGAGGGATATTTTATGTGTTTTAATTTAATTTGATTTTTGTGATTTTTTTATTTTATTCTTAATTACAAAAAATAGTTCAAATACTTTTAAATGTTATAAATACTTCTGAATAGTTAACTTTGCATATTTTTATTCAACTTATATTATTTATTACGAAAATCAACATAAATAATTTTTCTTTAAATATTTAATTTAGTTTCTATAAAAAAATTTCATTACAAGTTTAAGTTTGAAAATATTAATTATGAGAGGAATGTTTGATGTACATTTTCTAATGACAAAATGTGTTAAAGAGTTTGTTTTTTAAAAAAACATGGTATTGATATTTCTCTTAATTATAAATAGGTGTAATTTTATTTTTCTTTACCATATAATTTACAGTAGATATCTGCCTTTGATAAGCTCTTCAACAATGAAAATTATCTCTTGATATTCACATACATTATCTTCTAAACTTTTGAAAAGGATTAGTGACAAGAAACTTGAATAAATTTGGAAATAATTATAAATTGAAATCTTGTATGAAAAAACATTTTTCTATAGATTTTCAAAAATTTTCTAAACTTAAAAAGAAAAATATTCATATAAATTATAAGTGGAGGCTTCTACCAAAATGGAAACTGAGTGCGAAAAGTGGGCTCCACTCGCCTTGTTAACAACTCAACACATGGCCATCCATTTGCCATTATATATTCCATTAAATAAATGCTGACTATTCTTTCTATTCCTCCACATGTCAACATCTGAACCTTCCAAGTGTCAATCACAAAAATAGACACTGTTTCCAACCTTAATCTACCATGTCCTAACTCAATTTTTTTCCTACCCAAAAAAATTAAAACAAGCAAAATACAGCTACACTTCTTATCTATATTTTCTGCACAAATTATGGGTAATTTGTTGATATAATTATTTGAATTTTACAATGAAACTAAACTACTTTACTTGAACTAGATTAAAAAAGTTGCATAAACTCAGGGCACATTTATATTAAATAATTTTGAAAAACATATCAAAAGCATCTGTAATAAAAAACTGCTTTAAATATAAGATAAACTTAACAATTACATATTTAATAATAAAAGTTAAATAATGAGTAAATAAAAAAAATCAGCTGTTCCTTGTGAAAAAGGTATGCTCTTTTGGTTTGGGTTCGGAGTGAGGTTTGGATGTAGACTTTGAAGAAAGCCAAGATAATAAACACTACCTTTACTTTCTTCCTTCATCATCTGCCACCCACCACTACAAACATATAGCCCCACTTTCAAAGTTCCATACTTTTCCCTTCTCTCTTGTCTTTCTACCAATACTAGCATATTGAAAGAAAGTTCTTTTTCTTTTTTTTTTTTCTCTTCTGCCTCCAAAGCAAAACTTGTCTATTAGCATAGAAGATCAATAATCACAGGAGAAATCAAAGCCAAAAGTACAGAAACAAGAATCATGGTTAGTATTAGTACTAACAATCAATGCAAACCCTCTCACATGTACTACACATATGGACATATTTTTAATTTTTTTTTTCTTTTTTCTTATTTGCGTTTTTTTTTCTTCTATTCCTCAATTGTTGGCTAATTGTTCTTTTTTACTGGTTATATGGAATTAGGAGGGTGGAGGAGGTGCAATTGGGATGAGAGGTCTCAATGAAGAAGATGATGATATTGGAAAGAATGAAGAAGAAAACAAGTGGCCATCATGGCTGCGGCCACTTCTCCAAACAAGCTTTTTTATTCAATGCAAAGTCCATGCAGATTCCCACAAAAGTGAATGCAATATGTATTGCTTGGATTGTATGAATGGAGCACTTTGCTCTGCCTGTCTTGCTTCTCACAAAGAACACAGAGCTATTCAGGTAAAAACTTTTGGTGAAATTTTTGTACCTATTAATTGTTTTCTTTAGGATCTATGACTCAGTCTGATCAAATTATACGAGGATTTGAACCCAAAAAGGTCAAAACTTAAGGATTTGGATGCCTGTAATTTGATTGTGTACCCTTCTTCAGACATTGTTACTTTGTTGGATCAAATCCTTGTTGATTGATCCCAAAAAATGTACACTCTTGTGTTAGTTTTATCGGTTACACGTGCCATTCAATGCTGAATTATCAATTCCAAAGTCAACTATGGATGGCCAGTTAAAAAATTGCACTTTGAATTTTCTTTCATAGAAGAATTGATTATTGTCCAACTTAAATGCCCATCGGTTTATCCCAATAGATAGATTATTTATTATTTTTAATTTTTGGCAGTTTATTTTAGCTAGAATAAATAATGTTAATATATGTTATCTGATGCCTTGTTTTTGTATCTTTTTCATTCTCATTATTTTTCAAAGATAAGGAGGTCTTCATACCATGATGTTATAAGGGTCTCCGAGATACAGAAATTTCTGGACATAACAGGGGTCCAAACTTATATTATAAACAGTGCCAAAATTGTGTTCTTGAATGAAAGGCCTCAACCTAGGCCTGGCAAAGGAGTCACCAATACCTGCCAGGTCTGTGAGCGCAGCCTTCTTGATTCCTTCAGCTTCTGTTCACTTGGTTGTAAGGTATGTATATATAGTTAACCCAAATTTCTATCAATTTGCTTTATACTCATTCTTTTTTTCTTTTCTTTTTGGTCCACTTTTGTTTGTGTTTATACGTAAACATTAAGCAATTGCTTGGTCCATTGGAATTTCTATCTTGAAGCATTAAAATGGTATTTCAAACTATTATTTGGATTGCATTACATATAGCAAATCACGGTGAATTGATGGCCTAATTTTCAGAAAACTTTTACTGTTTCTAGCTCCTACTTTCTTTTGACTTTTCCTATACAAAGATGCATTGCAAACATTATGGTGTACCTTTTCCATCACCATTGAAAAAATAATTAAAAAATTATAAACATAGGTGAATATGAATTACATCAAGTTCTCAACTTTTTTCCCCTCAGATAGTTGGAACCTCCAAGAAGTTCAGGAAGAAGAAAATGTTAGCTGAGACAGATGGGTCAGATGATGAAGAATCAATTAATAGCATAATAAATGGAAGTGCCAGAAATAAAATCCAAAGCTTTACACCTTCAACACCGCCACCAACTGTGGTAAATTTCAGAACTGCTAAGAGGAGAAAAGGAGTTCCACATAGAGCTCCAATGGGTGGAGGACTTGTTATAGAATACTAATGTCATATACATATACATATACAATATATATATATATATATATATATATATATATATATATATATATATATATTATAGTATTGGTAGGTCTATGAGTTTTTAGGTCACTTACTGAACAATAATTATACCTAGACAGTGCCACTTCTGAAAGTGGCAATGTATCATCCTTAGACATATATGCTTTGTATTTCACAAAGTTGCAATACCTGAGCCCTGTTCCCTGAGGCCGGTGTTGGGAACTACTCTAATCTCTATCTTGTATAGAACAAATATAGGAGGAAAATCCCAAATATAAAATGAAGGAAAAAAGTATAGGTTAAAATCAAATAACTAAAGAATATAGATAGAGTGGAATTAATTTATGTTGGTGTAAGAATAGCAATCATATGTGTTGGTATCAGATGCGCAATGTACAAAGTGGCTTGTAGAAAGTTGTTGTATTTTAGACAATAAAAGTATTTATCATGATTATTAAAATATTCTCTGGTTTGGTATATGTCCATAGTATGTGCCCTTTGAAAGACCTGAAAGCCGGTTATGAGTGGTTTTAATTGCATAATGTATTTGCCTTCTGTTTCTCTTTCATGCTTCACTTCTTATGCTTTATTAAGTAACACTAAATTAATACCTGATTGGTGTGATGTATTCAGGGTTTAAGCAATTTATTTTAATATGCTTTTCCATTTACCACTTAAAAAGTTTTCTCAATTCTTATTTATTCTATGTATTGCTTTATTACATATGAACTATCTATTGGTCATAATTTTTAAAATTATAAACTTATAATTAAATATAAAAATCCTTCTGGATAAACAAGATAAGATACCAGAACTGACAATATAAGAATAATAGAGGGACCCAGTGAAGAGTGAGACCCACCTGGTTTTTTTCTATGTATCCTCATATGAATCTGGCCATTATCGACATCGTTCAGGCTATGTGGCACACTAGCTCCCCCCTCTACTAGCACATTCAGAGAATTTCTCACACTGTTAATTATTCTTATAGCATTATTTTGGGACAATGGTTGCTTTTTTACTGTGAATAAAAATAAAGTTCTTAGCTACTATTGGAAGATGACATTTTATTCTTATAGTAAATTACATTTAAGCCCCTTCATATGAATAAAAACAGCCATGGGAAAGCACTTATTTGTAACGTATTTTAAAAAGTTGCCATTATAAAAGTTAAAAAAATAAAAAAAAAACATCTATGTTCAATAGTAATTGAACGATGTAGAAAATATTTTAACTTCAAACAAACCTTACTTGTAATACATAAGTATTTTCAAAAATGGAGACAAAGAGAAGCCTTCTTTATAAAAGTAAGTATTAATCAACATTACAAGCCGAATAGCATTTTTCTAAAAGATAAAAAGTGATAGTAAATAATTTTTTAGTGAACTCACAACTGTAAATAATAAAAATTGATAGAACTTACAGAAAATTATACTTGGAAACTGAGGAATAGCACCATTCATAGTTTCATATAAACTTAATTGTTTAAATAAATAACAATATATATTTAAATTCTTATTTAATTTTAAAAATAACTAATTAATTAACAGTAATACTTTTAAAATAATAAAAAAATAAGACACTTGACGATTTCTTTTATACTTGTATAGGCAATGGTATAGTTAGATAAAATAGAAAAAATGAGTAAAAGAATACGAATATACGACGATGTCATGATCTTGGCAATTCTGATGCATTATTAAAGCAATATATTCAATTTTGCTAAATAATAATAATAATAATACATAAACTTTCATAATATCAAAAAAATAGTAGGTCCCACTTATTTAAGAAACAGATATAAGCTTAAACCAAAATTTCGTAGTCTTCATTATTAAAATGATGTAACGTGTCATTAGGTTTTGATGCGCAATGTGTAAATCATTTACAAAACTTAATAATAATATTTAAACCTTTTGGTGTTTAATAAAAATATTAAAATTACTAACTTTTTTAAAAAGAGTTACATAAAAATTATACTAAATTATAAATAATATATGAATGTAATATTTCTCTAATAATGCAGTGCCATGAATAGGATGTATCAAATTTAATATACGTGTTCAAACAAAAAATATATATAGTTTATTTGAAAAAAAATTCAAACATATTAATAAATTGCTTATGGTGGAGAGTGGTTGGGGAGTGCCCGAAGAATATGACCATTTGCGAAGGAATATGACTCTAATTTAATGTTTATCAATTTTGCAATCAATTGAAAGTACAAAGACAAAATCACAAAACCAAATCTATCTCGTGTTTCGTGGAGTTGATAGGCACCTCTTGGAGCATTGCAATTATACCATGGAAAGAAAATGCTAACATTAATGACAATAACAAAACAAAACAAAATATCAAATATCTAACTTTTCATTTTCATGGAACAATTTTATTTTTTCAATACATGGAAAATGCAAGTACCTAGCAACGAAAATGATATATGGCTCAGTAAAGATCAAACTTTACATGTTATCTTCACATCATTTAAACAACAAGAATAGGTAAATCTATCATTTATTGTGTTGAATTGTTCAAGAGATTAATTTTAAAAATTTATTTAATCGTCGTTGTTTTTAACTTAAATTCTATGTTTAATATGTTTTCGAGAGTAAAATCAATCATTGTAATCCAGATTCAAATCCCGTAATTATTAAAAATCAAGTTGTGCAAAATGTTCTGAATTTTCTTGTCTTGAGGATACATTTTGTTTTGTTTTCTTATATTTTTAAGAAATAAAATTTAAATTATGGACACAACTTCAATTACATGTGTTACAATTTGTATTTATTATTTTTTTTCCTAGTTTGCATATCAAGGGTTTTTTACAGAAATAAAATATTTTAAAAAATAAATTATGTATATGTCTTAAAAAAAAATTTGTACATAATATCCTGAATTGGATTGTATAGAAGTCGATTAAAATAGACTTTACACACATATACAGAAGTCAATTATAATAGTTTTTTACAATACAATGAGAAAGTCGATTATAATCAACTTTTGCAACGCATATTCCCATTTTAAAAAATATAATTTTAATTAAATTTGTTAATATTTTCATATAATAATTTAATAATTAAATAATATCAATGTAAAAATAATATTTTAAAAGACAAATAATTTAAATTATAAATTGCATAAAATTCAAATTCCAAAATACATGAAATTAAAATTCTAAAGTACAAGAAATTAAAATTCTAAAGTAGATCACCATCTAGCATATGTGACTATGAGCAACGTCTGTTGCGTCTGGGCCCAGCAAGGTGACTCCCTATTGCACAACGACGACATACAATCTGTCGTACAGGTCTGTGGTGTGCATGTTCCTCCTCCTGATGCATGTTCTGATCATCCGCCTCCCGCTGTTGAACAAGTGTGTGTTGCTGCTCCTCCTCCTCTGATGAACCATTAAAGTTGGGAGTTCGGATATGTGTTGGTGATGGTCGATATAGATTATCTGGTGCTGGTGACATGAACGGTGGACTGAACAATATATGTCATGCAATATCATCCTGAGTTAAACCTGTGACAAAATGTTGCATAGGACTGAGAGTAACCTTAGCATCTGACATGAACTGATGACTAGGGCCTGCCATAAAATGCTAGTTAGGGGTCATACATGTTTGGCTAGGGCTCGACATAAATTGGTGCTGAGAAGGACCAACCATGTACTGCTATTGGCAAGGTCCTGACATGAAGTGGTGGCTGAGGTATGTAGGTATCAGGTGGTATACGTAGTGTGAGGTATGTTGTACAGTTGAATTTGCATTAGGTTATTCATTATGTGCTGGGATGTCGGCTGGTATATGTGCCTCATTACGATACTGACGTCTACTGACACGTGTCCCTGCATGCAAACGACACATAAAAGAGCGTCTATATAGAACGTCATCAGGGTGTGTTATGTCAGGTGCTGGAGGGGCATGTAGTGGTACACCATCAGGTAAGTCCCTAAGCTCTGCATCTTGTGGACCTCCATCAAACGACAAAAATCTATGTACGTGCAACAAGTACCACTTAAAGTACTCGACAGAGGGATGATCATCATTAGCTAGAGAAAATGGAACTCGTCAGTCCCGACGTGCTTCCCATACAACATGCCATGTCACATGATAATCAGGCCACCATATATCTAGATCACCCCTCTCATCCTTAGCGTGGAATCGATCAATATTTATCGGGCTGGTCGATATGTGTTGTGCTCCACCAAATTGTCGAACTACCCGATCAATAGGGTGTCACTCAATCATAGTAAACTGTATAAGAGCAGTCACATATGCCCAAACATCTGCCTCATCATACAAGAAAGGAGGTGTAATGTTCTTGACCTCATTGTTGTTGTAGGGCCTCCACCTAAACTGAAATAATAAATAACAAATATTAGACCAAAAAATATATCACAATTAAATCAAAATAATTTAGTAACATAAACCTTGTTTGAACTTACCCCTGTAATGCCAATTGAATCAATGATCCCTCTATATCGCAACAACTTATCCGTATCTGATCTCGTCGATAACCTATAACTTTTTCACTTGAAATGGGCATAATTAGTTTTTACTTTCAAATTTAACATATATAAATAACAAAAAAAATAATATATTGATAGAATTAATTTGTACCTCAATGATAGTGAAAAAATGAGAGGATGATGGTTCCTACGGGCTAACTGAGGTATTCTATACCATGCCCAAGACTGTAGAAGAGGCAAACAACCTGCAATTTTGGTGACATTGTATTTCACCGCACGACATAGCTCACGATAAAGGGATGCTAAAACAGCAGAATCCCAACTATAGTTTGAAATCTCTATAAAATCAGATAGAAGAAGTAGCCACTTCATACGAACCCCAAATCCTGATTTATCTGGAAACAATACCCCACCGAATAGAACCATTATATACGTTCTAGTGTAATGGATAATAGTTTGTCCATCAGCATTGTGAGGTAATGCTCCAAATAACTCTATGAACCACTGTAGATTTACAAA